CATGAAAATGCATCCAGCAGTTTTTAACAGTGTATATATTTTAAATCCCTCTTAATCAAATCGATATTTTCCAAGGTCACTTCCTCCCCAATGTTGCAGTAAATTCTTAGGCCAGCATAGTAATATGGAACCTGTTGCTCTTAAGAATTACCAGCAATGAAAAATAGTAGGTTTTAGTTCAGCAAGACTGTAAAGCAACGGTTGAACTAATAGACAGAAGGGTGAATTTGCATGGAATGCCTTTGTCTTGCTCGATGAGTTAAAAGAATGAAAATCTCTGATTTCTGTGAAGGAAGATTCTAGCAGAATTTTTATTCCACCTATTGCTGGATCTAGGGGAAAAAAATCTCCAACTGAACATCAGTAGTCCTGGATTCCTTAGATTGTTCTTTTCTTGGAATAGTTCATTTTATATAGAGAAGATAACCAAACAAAACCTGTTAGACCTACATTGAAGTTGATAGGTGACAGAGGTTGTAGGATTCACAGTTGGGTTCTGTAGATCCAAAATCTGATCAGAGAATACACCAAGCATGCTACTGGTACATATGTACAAAACTGAGTGTTGGTACAATTTTACATACTGGAGAAGTCCTTAGAAAAGGTACTTCTGTCTGGTACTCCTGCACAAAAGTTTGCTTTCTTAATTGCATATTCCTGGAAGAAGAGGATTATGGCATGGTCTTATCTCTTTTCCAGTTTAAAGGGCTTGTTTGCAAATCCACAGGTTTTCACATCGAGAGGAACAAAACAGCCACTTCTATGACAACCTGAGAGCTTCAGCCTGTATGAAGTTAGTATGAAACTAAGACATTTGAGGATCCCTGTCTCACTCTTTTTTTCTGCTGTAGCTTTGTAGTTAAGAAGTTGAGCACGATGCACATTCTCCTTTCTTGCAAATGAGGATGATTGCCCTCCAGTTAAAGTCAGATGCATAGGCAGCTTTCTTTTCCAAATTGGTCATGGTTAGTTGAAAGGAGCTGTTGCTGATGATCTGCTGTTCTCTTCTCTACTTTAGTAACTTCCACGGTTAACTCTGCCTTTTCATCTTTTGATATCTGCCTCTTTATTCTCATTCTACAACACTGCATGATCTGGGGAGAGGTACTTTTAAAAAGTGAATTTTAAATTGCCTTATTGTTGCCTTACTCATTGTACCTTCTCTCCCTTTCTTTGCACAGTGGAGGGAAAGAAGAAATCTCAGAGTGGTCAGATGAGGACACTCCCAAGAAGTGCCTGGAAGTCAATGGGCATGAGGAAGATATAAAGGTACCAGGTGTGCGAGTGCGAGCACTGTATGATTACGCAGGACAAGAGGCTGATGAACTGAGCTTTAAAGCAGGTACAAAGGCATTAACCTTCTAACATGCTTTCCATTGTGTTTGGGGCTGCCGGATGACAGTTCACGGCAAAGAAGATCTAGATGGCTCCAAGACTCTTGTAATTGGACATGGGGAGGGGGAATTGAACCATAGGAGTTTGCTTAGAAATTGGGGAAGAAGGACATTAAAATTGAAACAGTTTGCATTGCTAGGAAGGATAGAGGATAAACAGTTTAAATAAATGTCATTTTCAGGTTCTTTCAAAATGCACAGGCTTGTTTTAAAGATATCTTAAAGAATTACAGGAGAATATTTGTAGCTCAGGGTTGAAATTATCTTAAGTAGGTAACATCATCAGTGCTGAGGATGCTACCTAGTTAGGGCGATGAAACATCTGCAAGAAAACAAACAAGTTCAGATAGCACCAAGGACCCCTCATCTTAAAACAATTATTATTCCTGAGGTATCCTATATATATATAGCTGGGCCATGTCAGCTCTTGTGTTCCTTTCAGTGTTGGTGTCAAATGACCTGTGTTTCTGTGTTATTCAAGAATGTTCTCTTGCTCATAGCAGAAAAAATAGAAATAAAAAAATAAAAGCTCAGGCCTGTTGCTCACATGACAGCAGGCATCTTTGGGCAGCAGCAGCTGGCAATGCCTGGAAGTGAATAGCCATTGATGTAACTGCATTGTATAAGGGCTATGTGCCTCACCCAAAGCAGAGACAGCCATTGTTGCTCCCAGAGACAAGATAAGCTAAAAGTTACCCTACTTCTGCTTCTTTGCATTCCTGAGTGGTTATGAGTAATGCAACGGAAAGGTTTACAGTACCATTCCTATGGGCCACAGCCTTGCCATATTGTTAAAGCCAAAAGTCTGCATGCTTAATCAGTTCCCTGTGGTTTTGATGATAAGTTCCTATTCTGAAATAAGTGCCAGTCTTTTTATATGAGAGCAGACTGAAGAGAGTCTCCATTGGGGCCATCTGGATGTTAGAAATATTGTATTTCTGCTTTATTTGAAGTTTTATTTTGCTGTTATGTGCTTCTCCCATTCTTTTAAAATAGGAACCGCATGAATCCTACACATGAACTGCTCATTTGTTGTAATACTAATTTATTTTGGTTTGATTTGTCTGTGATAACATGGCATGATATATGTTCCTTGTAGCATGAGGCTGCTATAAGAAACTAAATCCAGCCTTTTTTGGTCATCACTTCAGCACTCCAAATTCCTCCTATATAACTTCAGTCTTCTGGTTTACATCCCTTTTTTACTGTGGGAAAAGACAGAAAGGAAGCAGTGACTTTCTTAAAAGTTCCTTCAGATATGCCTGCAAACCACAGTAACAATTCACCAATTTGTATTTGCTCTACAGCATTCATGTCATGTTTCCAAGTATTTATAGCAAAGAGGCAGAGTTGGAAGCCTCCCAGAATCACTTGGAAGGCAATCTATAAATTAAATAATTTAAACTAGTCCCTCCTACCTTTCATTTTGCTGAATTCCAAACCCTAGCATCTTTGGTCATATTGCCTGGAATCTTAAGTTACGAAAAATCTGGAGGGCCACAAACTCCTCACTTTAGCTTATGGGAATGGGATCTTTCTCTTTGGTACATTAGAGGCATATTTTCCCATAGAAATGCTACTGCTGATGATACCCACAATCATCTCCCAGTATTAGCTCAATATAAATGCATGATATATGAAGGAGAAAAACCCTATTGGTCAGTTTTATTGCATGCATTTCATTACATTTAATTTGAAGCTGACATTTCTTCTTAAATGCAAAATTGAAAAGTTATATTTTTTTAATATAGTGGTTATAGTTATTTAAATTGTTTTCAAGCTCAATAATTGAATCACCTTTTTTGACATCTGTATATTTTTAGTAAACCCGATACACCCTATATAGGAATATTCTGAGCGTTAAAGATCTTTTTGAAGTACTGTTCTGTAAAATGACTTTTTCCCCAGCAGGCTTTTATATTACGACTCTATATGGAACAGAAGCTAACACTGATCCCAGATTCTTAGCTGAAAATAAAACACATCAGTTTGCATTTCAAATGACTTCAAATCCTCCTCCTCCTCTTTTAGTGTCCCCATAATCCCTTATGGGGTGAAGTCTGGGCAACTGAATGGAGTTAGGAGAGTATTTTAATAGCTGGATGCCCTTCTTGTCCCCAATTTCAAATGACTTCCAAAAATAATGCTTAATGTTTTGGCCTGATCCCACTGGCCCTGTTCATAATATATACAAAACCTGGTCTTGAGAGTGACTAAGCATATTATGCAAATTGCAATATTGAATTAAATGACTTTGTCAGTTAACTTTATGGGGATAAGGCTTGGCCAATAAATATACTCATTCTTGTTTAAAATTCATCTCATGCCTAGCCAGTCAGCAAACTCCATATTTCATTCATACTTCTTACCTCCTTCCAACATCCACCATTGAAACAAAACCCCAGAGCAGAGATTCTGCAAACACAAGGCTTATTTGTAGGCATCTTGATTTTAACCTGATTTATTCATGAACTTGGGGAAAGAAGGGAAGAGGTGGTGGCTAGGAAATGATCAGACAAAAGAAGCAGGAGCCCACAGTCACTTAATGGGCAGAGAAAGAAACTTAGGAAGGCCTTCCCTCACAGATCAAGAAGTTAAAAGTAGAGGTAGGAGATTTATACCTTCAGACATGCAAGATTAGGTTCATTAGCCTTACAACAGAGTAGAACTCATTCATCTTGTCATATTTCCCATTTGGTTTACCTGAGAGGACAGACACCTGCCTCTGTCACATAGTGGGAGGGGGAAGTAGGCAAAATTAGGTGTGGTCCCTGAACCTATCCATGATGATATGCTCTAATAAAGAAGGAGAAATAGTTGTTAGTAATAGAGTGACAGCAACTTTTGTGCTGGCTAGGAAAATAAAATGGCAGAACATTAAACCCCTGGCCATCCCACATTGGGTAGTATAAGGGCTAAAACCTGAACTAAGCAATATGGAGAGAGGATGGCTAAGTTGCTTATGCAAAAAGAATCAAACAAGTGCTGGCATATTTGGAGACAGATTCACTTGGGGAAAATGTGGGCATTTAGCAGGGTCAGAGCCCCAAAAGATCAAGGATCACCTACTTATATTTTCTTTATTTTGCTCAAGATCCTTTTTCTTTGGGCTGTTGACAGATTAGATAGGGGTCCCCAAACCTGGCAACTTTAAGACTTGTGGACTTCAACTCCCAGAAGTCCACAAGTCTTAAAGTTGCCAAGTTTGGAGACCTCTGTGTTAGATACATAATTCTTGCAGCATTGTCTGTTACACCACCTTTTCCATCTTCATTTCCCTCACCCGACTTCCTTGGGGCTTTCTGCATGCATGCAGTTAGGCTGAGGGTCTACCTGCTCACATACACACTCCTGTGACTATCAGAGCAGTGGGAAAGAGGTCTGTGTTTGTTTAATGCTGATGTTTCGTCTTTCTGCAGGAGAAGAGCTTATGAAAATCAGTGAAGAGGATGAACAGGGATGGTGCAAAGGCCGGCTTCAGACTGGTCAGGTTGGACTGTATCCTGCTAACTACGTAGAAAAGGTCATTTTGTGATTGCTTCTCCCTTCCCATCACTGCAACCACCTGACAAAGTGTATTGTGTGATGAGTTTTTGCTGAGGTCCCAAATCACGGGCTTCTGACTTGCATACAAAAGAAACAAATGAAATAATCTGGACCTTTCCGGGGATATTCTTTTCTTGTAACCAGTGCTTCATTTTAAACATCTAGAAATGTGCTGATTTTTTTTTCTAATAAAGAAATGTAACATTTTCTGAATCTCCTGTGTACTGCAGAAGAATGGAAAGGAAAGGATTCTTTAAAGAGGGAAAATATCTATTTGGGGTTGGGCAGGGTAGAGAATTTAACATAACTGCAGTCAATTCAACATTGTCCTCCTAGCTATTGCTTTAAAAATAAATTTGGAAGAATAATTTAAAATTACTCCTAGATCAAAATTATAGAGCCACCTTAACTGAATTAGAAAAAGCCATGCAAGCTATTACTCCCCACACCCAATATTAGGAAGTTAAATTTTGACCCAGTGTCATAGTTGAGGGATAAGTTATTCAAGCATAATTATGTACTGTAAGATAGTAAATTCATTTTAAGCTTTTTTTCTGTAGTATTTAAATAATAATTGCTTTTAAATGTAAATACTGGATCAAATAATACAGTATTTGCCTTAATGATTTCAAATACAATTTAAAATATGTAGCCTACCTTACATCCTTAATGAAATGCAGCAAATGATTTGAATATATTCATATTGAAACGACAATTTAGAAACATTTTAGTGAAACCAAATGAGCAAGCCCTGGTTGGATTATTTTTATATCAGGGATGCAGAACCTCAGATGATTGCTGGTTGATACCAAAGAGAAACAGAAAACTCACAAGTCACTAATTCTATCTACTGCCTGAATTTTTGTATCACAGATGTGGTTAGTCCTATTATTAAGGAATAATTCAGCTTTTCAGCAAAAGCTTATTTCGAATATTCCAATTCAGTTTGACATTCTGACTTTGGAATGAGACAGCTTGTCAGGGACAACTCACCACAGCTAACCCAGTGCAACCATCTCTCAGTGGCCATCTTACTGCTGCCAGCTCAACATGGGACAATTCACTGCTGGGACAACTTGCTGTAGGACAATTCTATGTGGAATAAATCAATGTGATAAATATTATCTGCTGCTGTTTCTTCAACACTATTTCCTTTGACAAAAATTGAAATGATGTAGAAGAAACAGTGGTGTATAATATTCATCGTGTTCTTATCTGATGCTGATTGTCCTGCAGCGAGTTGGCTGTAGCAAGATCGCTGCACTGAGTTGGTTGCAACAAGATGGCCATGGTGAGTTGGCCATGGCGAAATAGCAGTGAGTTAGCCACAATAAGTTGTGCTAGACCCCTCTGGCTTTGCCCAATTTGACATTCTGACCCTTCCTTCCTCCCTTTGGCAATCTAGCTCCATCTGATTAGTTTACTAAGAGATTGAATAGCAAAATACACATAGGAGAAGAATAAAAATAAGCAACACAAAAATGCTTATTAGGGAGCAATTAGCTTTACATTGAGTAAGAGTTTCTTTACTTTGGGAAAAGCTAATGGAAAAAATAAGCCAGTGCTGTATCAGCTTGCTCTAGGTTAAAAATTCATCTTACTCATCCAATAAATAAAAAACCATTGGAAGAGCTGTGGTGCCCCAGCATTGCAGGCTAACTTACTGCTCACTCACTAAAGTTCAATTCTGAGCGGCTCATGGTTGACTCAGCCTTCCATCCTTCTGAGGACCCAGATTGTTAGGGGCAGTATGCTGACTCTGTAAACTGCTTAAAGAGGGCTGTAAAGCATTGTGAAGCAGTATATAAGTTTAAGTGCTATTGCTATAAACATTTAGAACATATAACCAGGATATAGCGAAAATGCAGTGCTCTTTCTCACTATCAACCCCCTCCCCCCAAAATAACCCACTGACTCATGAAGTGGTTCTGATAATGATATGCATAATTGATGTCATTACTTGCTTTTGCCACAATTGTCACTTCATCTGACCTTTGTTCCAATCTAATCCTAGTCATTGTCTAATTCAAGGGCCTTCAAACTTGGCAAGTTTAAGACTTGTGGATTTCAACTCCCAGAATTCTTGAGCTAACATGACTGGAGGAGGAATTCTGGGAGTTGAAGTCCACAAGTGGTAAAGCTGTCAAGTTTGAAGACCCCCGGTCTAATTGTTGTTGGGATGATATTCTTCAATTAAGGCAACTTGCTTAGCTCGGTCATTGAAGAAACACAGGCCTCTGCTGATTGACTTGTCAGCTGTCCCCAGCTGGATGAAAGCATTTGTGAATCTTGGGGCAGTTTTTGTACTTGACTGGGGAAAACGTTCAGTTGTACTGAGTCTCCAAGGAAGCTAAGGTACTCCAGAGCACGTACCAATTTGAAGTCTGGAACTCAACCCTCAGGCTCAGATAATATTTCACTGATATTAGTTGCCAGCAAACTGCTTCAGCTTGAGGCCACTGCAGCCTTGCCCAAAGTTGTCCAGACCACTTGCTGTAGTCTATGCCTGCTCTGCCAACACATTAAATTACATCACTGAAACTTTGCCATGCATGCGAGCTTGCCAAAATCCTAAAAGCACAGCTGTTGGAACAAATAATCTTGCATTCCTGTCTTGTTTGCTGACCTGTATGAAAGGCCTCCACACTTGGTGCTGGACTTTGCTTCTCCACAATCAACACCAATGTCAGATGATCTGTGCTCTAATTTGGGCGGCTGCCTCAGCTTTATTACCGCAGGTCGATCGTAGGATGGGTAAAGAAGAAAAATCTTGCAAGGGAAAGATTAGGGCACTTTAAAAATACAAAAAAAAACTAATCTCCCCAGAGGTTCACCAAACTCCATTGTTGAACTGTGTAGAAAAACACAGGATCTCTCATTCAGATTTCTGTTTAATTCAGATTTTCCTCAGTGTTGCCTAAAAATAAATTCCCAGATCTGTGCTTTGATAGGAACTAAATATTTACATTACATTAGGAATATCACTATTCCCGCTAGCAGTTATGCTGCTAGCAGGAAGGATTTTCTTATCTATAAAATGCTTTTGTTGTTTATCACAATTCCGGGTGCCCATGGGGAGGCTGCCACGCATCAACAAACAGAAGCATATTTTCTGGAGCTGTTGGACAAGCTACAAGGATCAAGTTTCATTTCTGACTTGAGGGGAAAATTGTTCCATACTTCTGAACAATCATTGACATCCTTCCTTCCGGGTCATTGATTCCAGGCTGATAAATTAGCAGGGCTACAGTAAAACATGCAGTAATAGAATTTTGACTCCAAAAAACAAATGTATAAAAAAACAGACATAAATTCAAAGGTCATCTTACAAAAATCCAAAGGTCATTTCCCACTTCATCAAAGGTCAGGAGGCCTGATCAAATACTTCCCGCAAGGTTCCACCTTGAACCACGTGACCAGGATGGGCTGCTGGCATTTTCATTCCTAAACAATCACCCATTTTATCACGATAAAATAAACTCTCAAGCTGTCATTTCCAAGCTAAACCTGTAAAAGCTCGCAATAATATGACACAGAGAGGCTACTGAGGAGAAAATGTTTGTCTAGGGACCATATAGTAGCCTCTGACTGAACAACAGAAACTCTTAAGCTGTAAGCCTTGTAATTACATTCTTCAAATACCAAACATGGTATTTTGTTTGAAGGATTGGTTTTAGAAATGCTCTTCATAGTTTCGGCTTTGATCGTCACGGTTTTTTTTAATCATCAGGTTGCCTCAGAATTTCCTATGTATTAATGTTCTCTTTAATTCCATCCCATCTCCTCCAGATGGCCTGGTACCATTTCATGAGCCCAGGTAGATCCTCGGGCCAACTCCTGCTGCTGCTGTTGGCAACTTCTCCGCTCTGTTTATTGTTCATCTCTTTCACACAGTTACACTCACGAATCAAAGGCATAGTCTGTGCTTTTTGCTCTACATTGAAACCACAGCTCCAGGAAGGTTTGCACAAGTTGCTGCAGCAAAATGACATAATGGTTGGAAACCTGAGAACTGCTTCCAAAGGGATGATCGTTCAGGGATGAGAAAAGGTTAGGTTCCTTCAGTCACATATTCCAATATAGCCCACTCTTGTGCTAAGCAATCGGATGGGCTGGAGCCTTGGAAGAACCAGGGAGAAAGGCCAATCACTTGCTTGGTTCTGTAAATCACTCTGTACAGCATTCGATGGGAGGTAGTCACTCCCCTGGCTCTTCACACACATCAATGCACTGCTGCCTACAGGCAGTTCTTTACAAGGGCTCAGGAGTGCAGCACAACACTCAGCACAGGGCAGGACTGGCAGCGGTTTTCTCAAAATTGCACAAGCAAGAGAAGTAGTTATATCCTTCTCAAGTTCAGTCTGAAAGGATAACATGATACTGTCCATCTTTAGGAGAAGCTTTGAACCCCAGGGCAACAGCCGTATTTGCCCAGAGGCTAAAAGGCTTGCAACTGTAAACTTTGTCTGCATAAAGATAGGGTGGGTGAGTCAAGGCTCAGACTGGAAACAGTTCTGTTCAAGATAAGCTTATGTGCACTTTGGATTTTCCCCTGGGGTGGTAATCTCTCTGTGGCCACATGCATGTCTTATCCCCCACCCCCCCAATACCACTCTAAGGGATCCAGAATCCACCAACCAGGGAGCAGACAAGTAATGGGTTTGTCTTCTGCCAGTAGTTGAGTTTTTGCATCATCCACTGAAGACTGCACAAGTTCAACAGAAAGCCAAAAAATCCCCAGTGATGATTGCTTGGCCACAGTAGCTAAGCAATTGTTGTGCCTAGTTTGTGAAGCAGATTCTCATATTCATTGCAGAGGCTGTTAAAAGTGACAGCATTGGTAGAAGGACAGTGGTGCTCTGAGGCCTTCTCCATGGGCGTTGCAGCTGCTGCATGCATCAAAAACAGTACTCGCAGTTCTATAAAGAATATGGTGGTTTCGTGACCACGAAACTGAGGCAGGCCTAGTCTGGCTGCAAAATGCAGGACTTGTACTGTACTAAACACCTGCGTTGTAAGGGTGGCAAGGAGGAAGTAGTAAAGTGGTACAATCCATTGACTTTGAAATCCAACAACAGGGCTTCTGCTGCTCTTGGTATCTCATTAGCATCATAATTCTCAGCATCCACATCCACCAGGCCTTCCAAATGCCTGATGGAAGGATAATAATGGATTCGTATCTCTAAGGGCCTTGTGCCAAGAAGGAGAGCACACCACTTGAAAGCTCAGTTTCCCTGCTTGAGGTCTCTCTGCCAAACATTGAAGGCTTGTTGGGTGAATTTTGGTTTATAATCCAAATTTGAAAGCCATCTGCATAATTGTGGAAGCATAGAACAGAAAACGGTGAGTGCCATGTTTAATTCTGACACAAAATACCTCCCTTGCCAAATATATTGGAAAGTTTAAAGCCCAAGCTGGTGGGTTTTCAAGGGGAGGGCATCTATTACAGTAAAGTTCAAGCACAGTGTTATTTTCATCAGCTGTTTATCTCATTCTTGTCAGCAGTCCTATGCTAAGCTTCCTCCTTTCCTAACAGAACCTGTTTAAGTTTCCAGAATTAGATATGGTATTAGTATTGAAGTCACATAGACTCATGATGTGGATAGGTTTACTTTATGACTAATCTATTTATAGTACCTCAGGAGTTCATCAATTGAATCAGCTAAGATGAGTAGCACCTATGATGTAGGAGACAAACCATCTGAGGTGTTATCAAAAATCAAAGCCCACTATTTCACCCTAAAAAATAGGACTTTCCCCCAGCATGGGTTAAAGATGAACCTCGGTAATCACATTTGATAAACTAATACCTTTATAGCAAAAATAGGATGATAGATATAGTGGTCTTCATGGTCTCTTGCAAGATAGTATAGTATAGTGTATAGTATAGTATTGTTTAGTACAGTACAGAACAGAATTGTGATTGGACACACAAGGAATGTGTGATTGGACACATAAGGAATTTGTCTTGGTGCAAATGCTCTCTCAGTATACATAAAAGAAAAGATACATTTGTCAAGAGTCAAGAATCATAAGGTAGAATACTTAATAATAGTCATAGGGTACAATAAGCAATCAAATCATACTAGGAAACAGTCAATATAAATCGTAAGGATACAAGTGACAAAGTTAAGTGGGAGGGGATGGGTGATAAGGAGTGATGAGAAGATTAATAATAATAGTAGTGCAGACTTTGTAAATAGTTGAACAGTGTTGAGGGAATTATTTGTTTAAGAGAGTGATGGCGTTCACGGAAAAACTGTTCTTGTGTCTAGTTGTTCTGGTGTGCGGGGCTCTATAGCATCATTTTGAGGGAAGGAGTTGAAACAGTTTATGTCTGGGATGTGAGGGGTCTGTAAATATTTTCACAGCCCTCTTTTTTTATGCCCCCTTCTACTGTCCTAAAACTGGGACTATGAAATCAGAATATCCACATGATTATTAAACACTGGGTTAGTAATAAGCTTGCTTCGAGAATTGCAATTCCTACCTCTCAAGGACTTATCTAATGGGTTTTTTTCAATTAAGACTTTTTCAGGAAAGATTTGTGGAGGAGGATTATTTTTGAAGTTTGGCCTCTTGATTTTGAACAGAATCGACAAGTTCCTGATGCTCCCTCCTCCAAAAGAGAGATGTTAGGTTTTCCTATTTGGGATCTGAATGTGATATCATGTCTGAATATAGTGGTCAAGCATTCTTCTGAGGGAAAAGCTTGCAAAGAGAATCCAAGAGTTTGTCCTCTTCTCTCTAACATTAAAACACCTTGATGGTTTTGAAGTGTTTTTCCCCCAGTGTTTGGGGGAAAGAAAAAAGTATAAGAATTACACACATCATGTGCAAGATAGTTGGCTCTGGCAGTAGGAAAGTTTTCCTCATGAATTCATAGGCCTTGGCTGAGAATAAATGCAGTGAGACAGCAAAGTTGTGGGAGGCAGCTGGGATAGTTGTCGCTGTGGGTCTTCTCACACTGCAAACTGAACTGCAGATCTCTTGAAAAGAAGCACTGGATTTCTTGAAGACTATTTCTGAAGCAAGAACAAAGAGAGATTGACCAACTAATCCTGCATTGATTTTGTAGTTCTTAGATTTGCATTTTTTTTTTCTTTTGAGAATTTGGAAGTCCTCAGGTGAATCCAAAAATGGGAAGGTAGGAAGAAAAACGCTAAGGAGATCTGTGCAAAAACAGCAACAACCTTAGAAAATGGTGTAGCCAGGTTCTCTGGTAAATGGGTGTTTTGTAATTGGACACACCCATCATGCCAATCACTCTGTGAATGTGCCTATACTAAGTTCTTCCACATCAGAACAGTCCAGAAAGAGTATGATTGCTGTGCTAAGCCATTACATGGTTTCTGTTTACTTGAGTGTCATATGCGAACCCAACTTTTATGGTTTGCAAATTTGGTTAATGGCTCTGCATGCTGGATGAACCCAGTCTTGTGACTGCTCACAACAGCAAATTGTTATTCAATATGACAATGTTAACTTAACAGGGGCCCTCTTCTGGGGCTATGTCAGCAGAAGAATAGAACACAAAATAACATAGAAAGTATTTGTCTTAATGTTCTAATTAAAAATAAATAAATATATTCAAATGCCAGAAGCATCCATTTAAATTAGGTGCATGATATGCTTGATCTCCTTATTCCAAACATGACAGCATACTGCCACATTGTTAAATTATGAGCTACTTTGACAAGATGCCAACAATTCAAAGTATTGAATGTATCTTTCTTTTATGTATACTGAGAGTATTTACACCAAGACAAATTCCTTGTGTGTCCAATCACACTTGGCCAATAAAGTATTCTATCTATCTATACTGCATCATATATTTAAATTTATTAATAGAGAGATCTTTGGTAATTATTGCATTCATTTTAAAATATTTATTGTTTTTATGTTTTTGTTTATGACTACCGTGTTTCTCACAAAATAAGGCTGGGCCTTATTTTTTTTAAAAAACACGGCTAGGCCAGCCAGGCCTCCTCCCTGCAACGCAGCCCGGCGGAGACACTCGGCTTCATGTGCTCCTGTCGCCGCCTTCCCTTCGCCTTCGAAGGCAAAGCCAATTCTTTTAAAAACGACGCCCTACTACCAGTACGACAAAGACTCCTGTGCCCGAGAGGGCAGCCCAACCCCATGTGGGGAGGCGAATCTCCCAGGGCCATAGTGCAGGATCGGCCCACCTGGAAGAAGCGCCCAGCCGCCATCCCTGCCTGGCGCCAGGCAGAGCATGAAGAGCCGTGCAGGCTGGGCAGAGCCAGGAAAGCGAGCTGCAGGTGCACGCCTGCCTGCTAAGCGAAAGAGCCAGGGGCCACCGGGAGAGGCTGCCCGAGGCAGTGATAGGGCCCACCCGTCCGCAGACAGGGAGGTGAGGCGACAGCAGCACTGCTTCCCTGGCCAGCGGGTTCGGCGGATAGAGCCCAAAGCTGCCCGTCCTTTCCACCCCTTGCCCAGCCCGTCCCCACGCATCTCCAAATGTGCCGGCAGCTCCAAACACTGCAGCGGCACAGGCATCGGGCAGAGGCGCTCACTCGGCAGGGCTCAGCTTGGAGGAAGACGCGGCGCAGGCCATCGCCTTGCCTCCCTCTCCACGGATGGGTGGGCGCTATCACTACCTCGGGCGGCCTCTCCTGGTGGCCCCTTCGAGTTCAGGCTGGAGGGACTTGGGAAGGAAGTCAAGCTCGGGTCAGCCCGTCTCTTTTGCTTGGCAGGCGCGCACGCACCCGCAGCTCGCTTTCTTGGCTCTGCCCAGCCCGCACGGCTCTGGCACGGCCCTGGCAGGATGAGCGGAGGGCCCGGCGGGGAGGTGCTCGCTGCCTTGGTGAGAGCTCCACCACTGGGCAGGGGGGCCTGCCTGTCAGCTGCGCTGGGCGCCCCAGCCCAAGCTCTTCATGATCTGCCTGACACCAGGCAGGGATGACGTCTGGGTGCTTCTCCCGGAGTGGGCTGATCCTGCGCTGCGGCTCCGGGAGATTCACTTCCCCATGTGGGGTTAGGCTGCCCCCTCAGGCAGGGAAATCTTTGTCGTACCGGTAGTAGGGCTTCATTTTTAAAAGAATTGGCTTTGCCTTCGAAGGCGAAGGGAAGGTGGCGACAGGAGCGCCTGAAGCCGAGTGTCTCCCCCGGGCTCCAGTTGCAGGGCGGAGCCCTGGCTGGCCGCGTGTGGCTGCGCCAAACACCATGGCGTTGCTCTAAACGCCGCACCAGCACAGGGAGAAGGGAAAGCCACAGTGGCAGAAGATCTCCCGATACAAAGTGCCCCACCAACACCGAAGTCAATGCAGGCAGCACCATATCCAGGTATGCAACAAAAGTACTTCCTAACGGCAATTCCTCCCCATTTCACATGTTTAATATAGGCCTTAATTTGGGGAGAGGGGCTTAATTTGATTTTATGCCTATAAAACATGCTGGGACTTCCTACTGGGGGAGGCCGTATTGTTGGAGAAACACGGTATATACTTGTAAGCCACCATAAAATTATTTTCAGGTTAAAAAACAATATGAAGTTTGTAATAATGACATGTAATTATCATTTAATTACTGTCTGCACATATAATTAGTATTTTTATAGTAATAAAAATCATTTTCTGACCAATGCACATTTACAACAAAAGCCTTCAGTATGAAACTGATTACAGTCTAGTTAATTTCAGGCAGCTGCTAACCTGGAGAAGGGTTCTAATCAACTAATTAAGATCACAGAGCTGAGCTTGTTAATTTGCAGTTAGCACTTTTAAAAGAGACAATGCCTGCTCAGTAAGATGTCTATGGAGATTTTTAGTCATATCCAGGTTGTGCTTTTTCAAAAGGCAACAGGACTTTCTTTGTTTTGCTTGAAGTTGTTTCTCTTTTCATCCAAGAAAAAGGTTTTTTGGGGGAGAAAATAGGTCAAGTACATAGCACTGCATGGGAGAACTCCATTTGAATGAAATGGCAGTGTCTCTCTTGCTCACTTAACAACTTAAATGACTGGGCCATTGAAGTAATTGTAGCCAGTAAATGAGGACTATCTGTAAATGGTTTGTGAATGAGATTCCAGAGGATCTTCATTTCTATCTTACTGTGTAGTGTTCACTGGGAATTAACTCTATAACAGTCTGTTGACTACTTATGTGCCATCAAGTTGTAGATAGATGATGCCCAAGATAATCTCTTCTCCCAGCCTGGTCCTTCAGGTCTTCCACTGTAATTGAGTCCATCCGCCTTTCTGCTGGTCATCCTCTTTCCTCTCACATTCCCAACATTTATTCGCAACACAAGGCATTCCTTTAATTTCACTCTTCAAATTAATTCCTTTCCCCACACAACTGTCAGTTTAATTTCTTATAACATTTAGTAATGGACTCCACCCCGAGAATGTTTTTATACACTCATAGGCTTTAGGGAAAAACATGACCACCTGCAACTTTTTCTCCTTGTTTCCCTTTTATTGCTGAAGGCCATCAGTGGAAGACATAGGGAGAAAGGCCAGGAAGCAAGCAGCAGTCTGAAGTACATAAATCTTTTAGGGCAGAGCAGACTGCCAAGCCCTATTGGAAAATGAAAAGGTCCAAACATTAAAGTAAGCTTCCCTTTGCCGCACAATAACACAGATTTCTACGAAAAGGTCATGAACAGGAAGCTGGCCTTGTCATGTGCAAGGAAGACAAGAATTGCTAATGTCAACAATTCTTACACTTATGCTATATAAACGGAGGCAGCCACATCTATTGAATTAACACAAAAACAATAAAAATCACTAGAGTTAGCATGAATTTGATCTCTCGGTCCAAAAGTGAGTACCGGAGAAGAATAATCCAGGATGTTTTGTCACATTAGATTTCTTGCACTGCCAGAGTATGAAGTTATGCAACAGCAATGGGGATGATTTCTGAGGAGCAGTATTTCTATTATTCTGAGACTAGAGTACCTAGGACCTAGTATAGTACCTAGGACAGTGAACTTTTGGAGCCTTGAGTGCCCAAAGCGCTCACATGTACCCAACATGCAAGGCATGCCCCCGCGCATGTGCTCCACCCCATGCATGCGCCCCACGCATACACGGCAGAGACCTGAAGGCCAGCTGGCCAGTGCACATGCGCAGTGGAGCTGAGCTGGGGCAACGGTGTGCATGCACACAGAGAGGGCTCTGCAGGCTACCTGTGGCACACGTGCCATAGGTTCACCACCACGGAGCTAGGATGTCTCCACGGATCTAAAACTATACACAAAAGAATGTAAGCCATTTAGCCATTTAGGCTGAGCAGCTGACAGGGAGTGAGAATTTGGCTCCAATGGCTGTGGAAGAAATTGGGGAAGGGCAAAGTCTGGCTGGGCAGAGCAGGGGAGAGGTAGAGCAAGGCAGAGGGAATTCAGAGGAAGACTCAGGACTACCCCCTCTTTATCCTAGGGCATGCAGGGAGGAACGGAGAAGGGAGCAATGTGAGTTGCGTGGCTTATGGGAGAGGAAAGGGCCCTGATACCCTTCATTAGCTGCAGCTGGGAACACTGTTTAAAAAGGGAAGCTACGCACAGCAAAGTTGTTGGAAACAAATCGTGAGTTTTCTGTTATTGTTGAGGCTTATCTGGATTCCTGGCATCTTCCCAACTATGTGTGTTTTGTTGGCCTTTCAAGTCTGCAATTCCTTATCTTGTTAATTGATGCAGCGTGGTTTGTGTGGCTTTTTATTTACAGTTTGTATGTACTTTGTTTTTGGACCGAATTTCCTCCACTTAAGTATTGTTCCTGGGACAGTTTTTTTCTCCAGCCAAAAGTAACTTGAACATTGGGGGCAAAGTTGGAGGTATTAAAGGGACTTTTCTTGCTTATTTGACTGTGCCATGCCCTGGACCATCACAATGAACTTCAGGTAGTACTAATTTAGCAACCACAATTGGGATTGGCTACTCCATCACTAAGCATCAAAGTTGCTAAGTGGAAAATTCTGGGACTTATGTCACTTTCCATTTGGTTGTTAAACACCAGCCATTAAGTGAAAACATCACATGACTGCAACTATTTATTTCTGTGCTCTCTTTGTTGCAAGTCACTTGGGAAACATGTGAATGTTGGTAATGTGACCCCCAGGACTCAGCGACAGCAATAAATGGAAGGATTAATCACAAAGCTGTTTTTCTGCATTGTTGCAGTATTGAACAATTGCTAAACGAGGCTATTGGTAAGCGAGGACTATGGTACCTGTATTTTATGAAACATCAATTACACATTTTATAATATATAAAACAAATGTTATTAAATATATATTTTATTTTAGGGTTCTGTGAGCACCATTTTTCAGATGGCATCTTTGGATGTCATGTTACAGATTTAATGGTTAAGCTATAAACCATAATCCATGATTGTATAACCTAAAATGGCTAGGTTCATCCAAAGTGATTTTTTTTTACTTTAAAACCAGCAATGTACTAATCTGGTTTACCGATTATACATGAACTCAAATTAAATAGTTCAAAAACTGATCCTAAATATAGCTGATAACAAATGTCAAGAGGAAAACATGACATGCATATCTGGCCAGGAAAAAAGACTGAGAAAGAATTCTACTTTCTAAGACACAACTATTAAGAGAGATTGGTTACTGTTAGTTCTCTCAGCAGCAGGGTTTTAAAATCCAAACATAATGCATTCGCGCAGTAGAAAACTTGTATTTTTATAATAGTCTTCCACTATAATTCACATGGGTGGAAATCCCTCATGGGTGTGCTCATCCTACATGTTAGAAATATTAGGATAAAGATTTTCGCCTTTGATCTGTCTTGACAATTTGTTTGCTTGGAGTGGGAGAAAAGAACTGCCACCTACTGGGCGGGGTCAATTATTTCAACAGACTGATTTTGTTTATCAACACATTTCTGATTGGGTGTTGTCCCTTGTCAAAGTGGCTGGGAAGGTAGTGGCACCCGGCTTGGAGGCTTGGAAGCTAAACAGGAATCAGGCTTTGTTGGTACTTGGCTGAGAGGTCATCAGGAAATTTTAGGACAACAGACTAGACTGGTAAGTAGAACAACATCCCAGGAAGAGAGCCAGGGTGAACCATTCTACCTTTTTGGCAGGAAAATGAGATCGATGTTTTATAAAGTCACCAGAGATATTTTACAGGACAATTTCATTTGCAAACCCAAGATGAATTGGAATCGTTCTGAAGTGTTTGCCTCTTCACTGCATTCTTGAGTTTATACACAGCATAGACTTACAATGTATAACTATCTGGACTGGAGCCCAAGCTTCCCCTAAGAGCTCAAGTCAGGGCTTACCATGAAAGTGGTGGTCTGGCCAAGTTACAAATTGGTGGTCTGGCTAAGTTACGGATTTCAGACACCAACTATAGGGAATGGAGAAAGCATCAATACTCTGAGCGTGATATTTCTATTGTGGCAAAATCAGACATAATGGGCTCACGTTTTTAAAATCCGCATCAGCATGCACTGAAAAATCCATGCACCATTATATGGTGACAGGCCACGATGAAAATTTCAGCCATTGTCTCTCAGAAACCAGGCATAGGCTGGGCCCCTCCATGTACAGAAAGGCATGAACCAATCGGATACCATGAACCTTGTAACACTGATGTTTACCATATCACCATTCTCTCTCCCTCTCCCGAAAAGATAGAGTGAATGGGGATATGGTAAAATATATATCTCTATTATAAAAATCCAAGACACTGGAATATCATGAAATTAGGTGAAATAGCCTGCTACTGAAGACTTCAAAGGACTTATTTCTTATTTGGCCACCTGGGTAACAAATTTATCCCTTGCATCTTCCAATCTTCAAATGCAGCCCCATAGACAGTGAACAAGAGTCTAATTAGGTGTTGATCAAAGCATGAGTAATGCTCATGGGAATCATTCTCCCCCCTTTTTCCCCCCTGTCCTCTCAGAGCAGGTTTCTGTCTTCCTGGGCTGTTTTTCTCCAAGCCAAGGCATCACTAAAAGTGTTAAAAGGGGAGTTAACAGCTTGCTCAGCTCTATGACCTTAATTAGTTGATTAGAACTCTGGGCCAGCTTGCAGCTGCTGCCTTAAATTGACAAGACCCTAATCTATTTCACCTTAAAGGCTTTCTTTTGAGTCCTAAGTGGCTGGCAGCTTACTGGATAGCACACAGCCTTGGAATGTCTGTTTTACTCTCTTGTGATCCCTTCTCTCCAATGAATGTAAATAAACACTTTTTTTGCTAATGATCCCAGAGCCAGGAAAAGCTGAAATAAAATTGTAAACAGAACTGTGGTGGTGTGATTTTCACTTAGCCACAGCTTTGCTTAACAACCAATTCCAATTGCAGCCACTAAACAAAGTCTGCCTTTATTCACATTCAGAGCAATATGTCAGACAATCATTTTACCCGATCAGGTAGAATGTTGTTTCATAAGAAAATATCAAATTCTGTGACCCTCCTCTTTAGTTTTCTAATGAAGCCCATTGCATTTGATAAAGACACAGGTGTACTAATAGTGGGAAAAAAGAGACAGCCACCTTAGGACAATTGAGAGATATTTAATGGACGTGCAATTGGGCTGAAGACAGCATAAACTCCCACAAAAGACACCACCCAGGAAATAGCTTTCCAGCCTTAAGAGCCTCACAATTGCTTGGCACCCACATTTTTGCATGGAGCCCCAACAGAAAACATAGCAAAGAAGCAAAACAAAAGGAAGAACTGCTGCTACTACATTGCCTGTTTCTCTGTTCTGGTTCCTAAGTCAATTGTCATTTCAGCAACAGCAGCAATACCACTATCCCTACCAGCATCTTCTCCTGATCTGGAAGGGAAGGGAAACTTTGTGTGGATAGAGGAAATAAATGGAGACCCTTGCAAGGTGCAGCCTCACTGTTGTAGCATCAGGAAAAAGAAACCAAGAGACCTTTCTCCGTCTTCAGTCTTCAAGTTTGTATCCTGGAGAAGGGCTCTTGCTACTGTGGTAGGACAGCATTTAAAAGGTTTGCTCTGGGGATCACCAGACTCTACTTATGCCCCTGGGTGCATATTTTATAACTGAAGCTCCCAGGACACACCCTGATTATTTCCAGTTAAAAGGATGTCTATTGCAGGAAAGAAACAGAACAGGCAGAAACTTGCTGTCTATCGAATTATAAGAAGGCTGCATGTGGATTGATTCACTTAAAGTTGCTTCACATGTTCATATTCTGAAGAAAGTTTTAATCATCAAAAACTACAATGATCAAGAGTACATTATCTTCTGCAGTTCTGAGTAGATTGGGACTTAGGGCTCCATTTTGGAACTGCTCCAATGAACACCTTGAATGAGGTAGTTCTCTTCTCCTCAGAAATCCCATAAGAAAATTAAAACATTTAGGTAATAATATATACATTTTATTATATAATAATAAGACTGAGACTGACATGCAATATTCCCTTGGCACAGACCTGTAAGATACTTGTGTCACTGCAGAGCTTTAGTGCAGCTTACATTTGTTAGGCTCAGCTTCTTGGAATTACAACAGTATGTGAATCACAAGATCTTGGAGGCACTGAGTTTCAGATTGGGCAATGCATATGATTTCTCTGAATCAATATACAGCCCTTGTTCCAGAAGAAATGAAGTCTGATGTAAGAGAGTACACACTGTTGGGTGTAAAAAATTGAGAATTTTTAAATTTTCATTTGGCATGCTCCTGTGCCATGGCCCCTTCTGCAGTGCATCACTTGCATATCGGCTTGCGGTGGCTCTGACTTAGCAGCACTTTCCTCCCTTTGTGAAGGGTCCTGTCTCCTCCTATTAACAACCAGATTGTAACACTCTTTGGCTGCAGTGTTTTGATGTTTGCATTCACAATGGATTTTAAGATTGTTTGCTGCCAGAGTCACTTGTGGAGATGGGCATCCATACAAACTGAATTAATGACATCTTAAAACAGTGTTTCTCAACCTTGGCAACTTTATGATGTGTGGACTTCAACTCCCAGAATTCTCCAGCCAGCAACGCTCTTGACTGATGGGCTGAGAGCACAGAAAGGCGCCAGAAACGAGGAACCACAATGCCTTGGGTCCTGCTTCAGCTCGATTCACAGCCAGCATCCATTTCTTCTCTCAGTTCAGGGTCTTTGGGAAATCCGACAGAAGGAAAATATTCAATTTCTGCACAGGACCTGTCACAAAGCCCCGCCCCTATCTGAATAGGACCCGCCCCTCGCACGCGGGACCCGCCCTCCCCGTTCGAGCGGTCGAAGACTTTAAGGGGCGTCAAGGCTGTGAAAAAGATAAACCCTTTGCCCGGTTCAGCCGAGCGTCCCGGTTGGGGCAGTTAGTGGCACAACAGGTTTTGGGCCCGCTTCCCAATGAACGCGCAGGCCGTGACCGTGGTTCCCACCAAGTATTTCGCCTCCTGGAGGCCGCACTGAACTGACCCTGAGAGGGACCCATATTCGTAGAAGCCCGCCCGCTCACGCGGATTGGCCCACGCTGTGACCGGCTGCTGAGCTCCGTGAATGCTGGGAGAAAGAAAACATGGCGGCGGGGCCCAGCCGGACGGAAATTCAGACCCTTTTTAAGCGTCTGCGAGCTGTGCCAGCCAATAAGGTACTTGAGGGTGAAGCGTGGGGACTGTGCGCTCGGTGGCCGGACCACGAGACGTTTCAAGAGCGGACTTGACCCGGCTTTTGATCCGTATCGCTCTTCGTCCTCGCCGGTAACCACTCGACCCCGCACCCGATTGTGGCGAGGCCGAAGGGAGAGACGAGCCCCCGAATCGAAGCGTTGTCACGAAGCGGTCCGGCATCAAAGCACCGTAGCAGCTGCTGAGGGGGGAAACGGGTGGTTGCCTAGGTGACGAGTTCGGTTTAAGACACCACGAGACGGCTTCTCCATTTCTTGGAGATCCGTTAATTTTACATTCCCCCTGTTTCGTTTTGTTTTTTTGTAGTCCTGTTTCGACTGCGGGGCAAAGAACCCGAGCTGGGCCAGTATCACCTACGGGGTGTTTCTTTGCATCGACTGTTCCGGAACCCACCGCTCGCTGGGCGTTCATGTCAGCTTCATCCGGTAAAGTCGAGCTTGGATGCGGGCTAAAAACGTCTTCCAATAGTATCCAGGGCTGCTTAGATGATGGGTTGGCAATCCACATTATTTGCCTGATTACATAAGTAATTTAAAAAAAAATTGCATCGGGCAGATCTATCTTAATGATTTTCAAGTAAGAGAACAATTGAGTTTTATTTTCCTTGTGTCTAGAGTCCTTTGCATATTTCCAAGTCAAATTATTTAATAATTTATGTTTGACAGATGATCAAGGACTGCTGACCTGATACTGCCTTATTTCCCAACTTCTAGTTTTCTACTGGTATTAAATAACTATCAATGTATATTAATATATTAATATCTTGAGTATATTAACGTACTTTAAAAATAAATAAATCCCTATTCTATCCTGCAATTTTGCTGTCTTTAAAATATGACTTAGAACTAGAATAAATGCATAATCACTATAAATGTACACTAATCAACATACATTAAAATGAAATTTTATTGCATACAGCTTTCAAAGGGTCACTACTTCCAGTGTACACTATATAAACATGACTAAATAAATAAATACAAAATGATGCATATACCCACATACCCACATATAAATATGCAAGATGACATAATTCTGACACTTTATATTGTATCTTTGAGATCCAGTTTGGGATAGGGTTAAGGCATCAGCACCTTCTGCTTGAGACATAAAGCCGGTCACTGTTTCTCAGTCCTAGAAAGAATGAGGCAAAGCAAACCATCCTGAATTCTTGCTTAGAAAACTTGCAGGGGCTTGTCCAGGCAATCACCAGGAGTCCAACACTCATTCAAGAGATAGAAAAAAAAACCTATCTTTCTTTTGAGCTCTGAATAACTGACACTAGAAAATGGTCTGAATAGATTCATCATTCCTTTTACTCTAAATTTTTCCTGTGCCTTATTGAGCATTAGGGCTAAATGCTATTTAGAGAGTCTGGTTTATTTATCTTCAGGTTCTTTTCAGTGATAAAGGCTCTTTCCAAGTTCTGTGGATTAATTATTTGGAGTCTTTGAGTTTGTATGACAATGCAGGCTATATATGGCTTGCTTATGCACAACAACTGATTATCAAACCATAGACGCCTCCAACCTTGACTTATTTGATGATATATATATAATAGAGTTCTGGCTTACTCATTATCATCATCCTTTATTTGAATAATATGTCTTTTATTTTCCCCACTGAAGATGTTTTCTGCATTTTGTTAGCCACACCTGTTTGCCTTTATAAAATACTGTGTTTCAGTAAGCATGTCACTTATGTGAGGTGCAAATGCATTCATTTTTGTCCTTATTCTTAAAATTTAGTAAAAATTCTAATACGCATTGCCCTACATACAAACCGACTAATTCTTCCATATTCTCTTTATCTATTTTTGCTTCTAAGAGGATAGGCTATGATTGTAAAACATTTTCATTTTTAATAAGTCCCTAACTATTTTACACTTGTAAGTAGTTGTTTTGTAATAGTTAACAAATGACAGGCATCTGTCAAGTAAATTGGTTATTTTTCTCTTTGTTATCTCATTTCAATATATTTGTGAAGTCTGAAAAATTAAACACCTACTCACAGAAGATTGTTAAGAAAGTGTTAACAAAAGAGTATTAAATTATTTATATTGCAGTATTACAATAGTTTATACTGTAGGTATAAAGAATTACTGGCTCTGCCAGTGCATTGAATCAGCAGCTCTGTCCAGTATAACCAATGATGAGGAATGCTGCAAGTTGTAATTCAGAACCATCAACAGTCACAAATTCCCTGCCCTGTTAAATTGTCAACTCTATAGCTTTAGCTTATTAGATTTGTGTTTGAAATGTTATAAAATGAATTCATTAGGTGCTCAGAGATGTTTTCTGATAGGCACACAGTACATCTGTTTTAGGAGCCCTCCATAGGCTTTCTATTAAGTTCTGTGAGCTAATTTAAACAGCTGGTCTTAGCCTATACATCTCTTTATTGGCACCAGATTACCCTCAGGACTTCATATTTTCATTGACCAATCCAATAGTGTCAGGAGAAGTAGCTGCCTGTACCCTATTTCGATGAGGTCGGGGTGTATGTATGTATAAACCTGGAAGCATTGCTTTTCTGTGATAGGGATTGCCTCTTGGAATGGTTTCTCATTAAGGGGTTGTTTGTGCCCAACATTATTTACCATCTAGAAAAAAAGAGAGCTTTTTGGGCACTACACCAGGCTGTTGGTTTCTTTTTTGTATTATGCTTTTGCAAACTTTTGTTTTGTTTTGCTTTGTTATTGCAAGCTGCCAAAAATCTGTTTATGATTGTGAAAGGATATAAATCTGATGAATAAATCATAAACTAATAATTATTCCCAATTTGTCAGATAGAAAAAAATTAGAATTCTGCACTGCAGAAATATAATGAAAGGCAGCATTCTCTATATCAAGCACCCTGAATAGTCAGGCTGGTAGTGCCAACAGTTCTGGAAGACCCAATTTAGGGAAAGCTGATATAAGATGATCTTTATGTTCCTGAAAATTGATCAAAAGCTTGGAACGTGCTAGCTTTTTCCTGTTTGTTGTGTGCAAGTATCGTACTAAGAGAAATGAAATTTGTATTTTTTGATAGGACAACAGATGATATTGTGACAGAAGGGCATTTTGGCTTTTAGAAATCATTGATACCTATATGGTGAATTTGTGTTTAATATATAATGTCAATCTTGTCCCCTTGTAGATCTACAGAGCTTGACTCCAACTGGAGCTGGTTTCAGTTGAGGTGTATGCAAGTGGGTAGCAATGCCAATGCGGTAAGGACCAGTTGAAATTATACTCTGATTATTTAGATGGGCATTGGATTTTTTTAATTGTTCCTTTTTTTTAGAGAATGCTATGAATGGGTACCTGGTGAATAACTTTGTGAATAGTTATTAACAAACTTATCAATATTTCTGGATCATCTAATACCACTGAAGTTCAATCACTACATATCTACAGTATATCTGGAAATATTATCTAGATTTCAGTTTGTTCTTTTTGGCCCTAACAGCCAACTATATTTTCTCTGTTTTCAGACAGCTTTTTTCTGCCAGCATGGCTGTACCACCTCAGATGCCCCTGCCAAGTATAATAGCCGTGCTGCTCACATGTACCGAGAAAAGATCCAGCAGCTGGCAAGTGCTGCTATGGCCAAATATGGAAATGATGTAAGGACCAATAAGTCTCTGCGCTGTTGGGGATGAAGGGAGAAATTATAAGACTTGCTATAAAAATCCATAGATGATCATCTCCTTTTTTAGCTCCTGATTGATGGCCTGAGTGGGATTCCTGGCCACTCTCTGGAGAGGAATGATGCTGATTTCTTCTTGGAGCATACACAGGTGAGTAGAACCCACTTGACTTACTCTTTTCAGTTGCAAATCTTCCTTGTAGGATTGTCTGATGATTTTTCCTCAATACAGATAATCCTTGGTTAGCGACCAATCATTCAGCACCCATTTGAAGCTATGACAGGGAGAACAAGGAGACTCACACCCAATCTTTGAAGTTGTGGCTCTTGCAGCATCGCCCAGTCACATGTTCACTATATTCAACCTTTAGTGTCAGCTTCTGATAAATAAAGTTAATGGAGAAACTGTTGTGATCCTGTGATGTCATGCTTAACAACCATACAGAATTTGCTTAACTGTGACTGGTTCTGCTGTTGTGATATGATATGGTCATACTTTTTTCCTGCATGATTACATCACTTAGTGAATGAGTTCCTGGGGCCTAGTTATAGTTGTTTACCAACAGTACCTATACTCTACCTTTTAACTGAGTACTAGTTTATGGTGAACCATTCGGATTGACAGTCTGGTCAGAAGTTGCCATCTTCATTTTTTTTTCATTGCAATTCTGAGTTGCCATCATATATTAATTTGTAGCGAATCAGGATAGTGCTATGTACGGGACACAGTACTATTGATATTTTTCAAAGCTTTCCCCAACCTGGTGGCTTTCAGGTGTATTGAAATTGTCAGAAATCCTGTAAGTTGAAGTCCCGACAAATCCATCAGGTAAAGATTGTAAGAGCTGCTCTCATTAAAGAAGCTGGAATTTTACACTATTCTTTTATGTGCAAGCCTATATTTTTTTCTTTGAAATACAAACCATTTGGATAATAGTTCTTAACAAAAATTTATATGTATTCTTCGTTCAAACCGAATATAATGTCATTAGACTAATCAATGTATGTTGTGTCATCCCCTTTCTTAGAAGTGATTGGCTGGCTAGTATCAGAAATGGAGTACAGATAATCCTCGACTTGTGACCACAATTGAGCCCAAAATTTTTGTTGTTAAGGGAGACAATTAAGTAAAATTTCTCCCATTTTACAATCTTTCTTGTCACAGTTGTTAAGTGAATCAATGTCATTGCTATGTTAGTAACATGCTTGCTAATTGAATCTGGCTTCCCAACTGACTGCTTTGCTCACATGACCATGGGATGCTGCAACGCTCATAAGTGTAAAAAAGAGTCATAAGTCACTTCTTTCTGTGCTGTTACGACTTCAAAGGTCACTAAGCGAACTGTTTTAAGTCAAGAACTTCCTGTATATTCTGCATGGCTGGAATATTTTTTCTTTGCGATAGGATCATAATTGATGGCTGACAACTCCATTAGAATGGAACCTATCTTTAAGAAAGTAGTAATATTCATTCTCTACAATGTGGGAGAAATATGTGGCTTATTAGGGCAGATCTTGTTTGAGTTATAAATTAACATTGTTGAGCCTTTGTAAGAACTGATTTGTTTTCTTTAAGGCTTGTAGTGACTGGGATGTGGCTAAGATGGAGCAGAGCACAGTAGAGTCCACATCAGAATTGGAGAAACCAGCAAAGCCATCTGAAAATAATGGGGTTCCACGTAAGTACCAAAACAGAAGCCATATATTTAGTTTCTTTTTCCATATTAAATATCTCCACTGGGTAAAATGAACCTTGGTTGCTATTAAGCTTGATGATCAGCAGACAATCCATGTCATGCAGGCTTTATATTTTGATACACCAAAACTCTGTAATCAGTTCAGTGATAAATGTAGTAGCTTTTGTTTTTCTGAACTGAGAATTTTTTTCAGTTAAAGAGTATTACCTGTTTGAATAATTTAGAAGTTCTGTATTTCAACAGGATAAATGTATGATATATGAAAGAATCATGTCTATTAATTGATAGGTGGCTGTATTCATATACCTGGCTGAGATAATAGATGGTTTTAATTATAGATTGTTGAGAAAACAGGATCAACATTTGTAGATAAGCAAACTTGTAATAGCATGCCAGCTATTTTCTGCTAATTACTTTCCTTTTTTAGCTGCCTAGGAGCGTTAAAACTAGGAATATGCTAGAAACTATTAGCCCAGTATCCCCATTTCCATGTTACATTAAGCTATAGTTACAATCAGAAGAGTATCAATAAAGCATAGATTCAAGCTGGTTTTCGCGGAATCAGTCATTTGCAATAAGCGTCTCTTTGATAAGTTCTTCAGTTTATTTCAGTAGTTTCTTCATGGAATTGTGGCGCTTTGGAGTATGTGTAGTGCTTCTAGACCATCACAGTTCAGGGATTTTTTTTTTTTATTCTGTAGAGGCTGACCAAGGTCCATCCATTGAGTTATTGAGCACCTCTCCCAAAGGCTCCCTTGGTAAGTATACATATCGCCTCTGTTTTCCTCAATGCACGGTGCTGCTAGCGATCATCGGTTTCACTTCAGATGATTTGCACTGACATAGATTTATTGCAGATGCTATACTGGGTCGAGAAGATGAATAGTTCTCATTTTGAACTGCTTATTGCAATATAGTAGGAATTGAGTAACATAGATTTCATCTTTTTGGAAACTGTAGAATCATTGGAAGGAACATTAAGATGTGAATTGGTCTAATCCCTCGCTGTCCAGAGGTGGCTATAATTATCTCTTAATAGGAAGCCACCCAGCTTCTATTTTTAAACATTTTAATTCTGAAGAGTTTATAACAGCCTGAGTCAAGTTTGATTCCCTGTTAAATGAATTATCTGTCAGAAGGATTTTCTTAAAATTTGAAATCACTGTGATTCTGTAGCCTTAGCTAATACTGAGGATTGAGGTAGTAGCAAGCTGATATGGCCTTGGCTTGTTCTTCAAGAGTAATGTCCAACTAATTCAGATTGTGGCCTGATTCTCTAATGTCACGATCTTAGATATTATTTACACCTCATTTCTATTTTTAAGCTCTCTTCACTTTGATGTAAATATCTTTAGGAAAAAAACAATACAACTTTCCATAACATCCATGCTCTTTTCATTTAGGAATATGAAAGATGCACTGACTCCTAATAAAAAAAACCTTTAAACACACTATCTTGATTTAAATGTCATTTTACATGTGAGTATATGTGATATATTTTGTATATTTATCAATCAACTAATATATGAAACATATTGTATATACTCGCATAAGGACATAAACCATACCTCAAATTTTAACCAAAATACCATCAAAATGTGACACCTGCAGATAAGGTGACCTGCATTTTTATGGTATTTTGGTTTAAATTTCAAGGGCCTGCTTATACACAAGTATATATGAAAAATAAATATTTTTTTAAAATGCAGGTATCTGCAAAAAAGCCAAATCCATTCGTTTTGGATGCATTTTAACAATATTCCTAGCTTATCTCTTGAGTCTATTCAGTATTTCCAATACTGGCGATTTACTAGACCACAGTATAGTCTTGTGTGGGATATCTTGCAGAAGGTCAGACTTGTACGCTCAACCTTCATCTAAACATCTTTTTAGAATCAATACATGCCTGTCTCTTTCTCCTTCAGACGCTTCCATGTGTCTGTCTCCACAAGGGGCAGCTCCGGCCAGAGGTAACTGGCTCTGTATGGACTATTTGCCTTCCATTTCTGTGGTTCTGCTTCCAGCTCTAAGTTTATCTGTCTTGCACCTTTTAAGATCTCAACCCAACATGGAAGGAATTGCTCTTAGTTAGCAGTGAACTTTAGATTACATTTTGCTTCTGGAATTTTGGCAGTTAATTAAGTGGACACACATGGCATAACTTAGACAATTATATTCTCCTTGCTTTGGTTGTGTGGAAACTACTGAGCAACCTGCAACATATGCCTCTTTTAAGTTTACAGCAATGCTTCGTTTCTACTGGGTCTTTCCCACCGACACTTCTGAGCTCACTGCCTACCAAAGTCACCATGTCTTAGTGTTGTAATTCTATCACTTTCTCACCTGGAAGGGGAGGCCCAAGTGGTTACTAATTTGAAATTGCATGGTATGGCTGGTCATATTGACACTGAATCTGTGTGCTGCTGCTGGATCTGCTGGGTATATTAACAATGTTTATAGGACACTTGGCCATGGTAGTCTTTTAACCATAAAAGTTTTGAAATATTGTGACAAGTATTTGTATTCACCGCAGCTTAAGCTCATCCTTCATTGATTGCCTTTATTGTAGAAATAAAGCCTTCCCTTATTGGAAAGAAGAAGGCAGGTGGAACAAAAAAGGGGGTAAGTTTGTTGTCAGATACCTTGCCTTTCCATGGCATGCACTTGCTTGCATTTTTTGACAAAGTTGTGTCCCTCCGAGTGACATTTTGTGAGAACTTCCTTTTCTGCCATGGATGCTGTCTGTTTTTTATATAAGCTAATGGGGATTTGCCTCGTTCTTTTTCTCTTTCATTTCTTCAGCTCCTGCTGGACAGCATCATTATCCAGTTCTCTGGAAACCTTTCTGCATACCAATAGTTTGAAACAGTCCTCGTAATACTATGTGGGGGATTACTGTAACCCTGTATTTATTTTTAGTGTGGGTTAACTATCATGGGCAGATGATTTCACCTTAGAAATTAATGTATTTATGTTTTGTGTTTGACTTTATGGTGTAGTCTTGGAGCAAAGATAATAGATGCCCCTCCAAACCACCCTTTTGGTTCATACAGCAAAGCTTGCAAAATTGAAGGCATTGTTTTGTATCTTTGCTTTCTGTAATAAAGTAATTCTGAAATGGAATGATAAATGGATATCTTGGTTTCTATTGTGCCCGTGCATAGGTTGCTATAATTCATGCAAATTCCTCTGATGTTTCAGGTTCAGTGACTTTCACATTTTCTTCTGCTTCCTTTTCTTTAGCTGGGAGCCAAAAAAGGTCTTGGAGCTCAAAAAGTGAGCAGTCAGAGTTTTACAGAAGTTGAACGGCAAGCCCAGATGGCAGAAAAGCTGAAAGAACAACAAGCAGCTGAGTACAGAAAGCAAGCAGAGGAATCTGTGTGAGTGGCTCTTATATCCAGCATCCTTGAGTTGGGATACACATAAATTAGCTCACAAGGGGATTGAACTGGAGAATGAACTCAGGAAGCATAAACGAGCTGATGCCCAATTCAGACCTGAGAATTTATAAATAAATAAAATAATGGCCAGTGCCTGCACATGAATAGAGCCTGGATCATGGAACTTTTCAGCTTGTCTGTTGTCAGTTCTCATAGTTCTATTCAAAACTTGGGCTGGGATATGATATATACAGTACACTATGGGGGAACTATTTGAACTCTGTGGTTTGGTGATGCTTGTGTGGTGTCTTTCTCACAGCGTGGCCTCAATGAGATTGGCCTATCAAGAGCTTCAAATTGACCGGAAGAAGGAGGAAAAGAAACTTCAAAATTTAGAAGGGAAGAAGCGTGAACAGGCTGAAAGACTAGGCATGGGCTTGGTGTCCAGAAGGTAATTTACTTTATTAGAAAATAAAAACATGGCTCCCCTTCTGTGTCATGCCTGACTGAAGTTGTTAGCAGTCTCAGCAGGCCTGACCTGTGCTTTTGATCTTTCCAAAGGTTCTTTGGATGCTGTATATATTCAGCTCCCTTCATAGGAGTGATTTATATTGTGGCCTTGGAGTAAGAAATTGCATTAAGAAAAGTCAGCCAGAGGCTAATGTGATAATCAAATAGTGTTCAGAAATCTGTACAAGTTAAGGAAAGCCTTTTTTAACAAATAAAGCACAAACTATAATAGAAAAGGGTAATAAAAGATTATAAAGGATGCTGCTGCTGATGCCCAGTTACCTTGAGATAAGATGGGCAGCCTATACATTTTATAAATAAATAAAAGATGGTGTAGAAAAAGAAATGCATAGAAAAAAAACACAATAAAGAACTTAATTGAGAACTTATTTGAATGTTTTTGAAGCAGAAAACCAGCCAATGAAACAGCTGGACCCAAAAAGTAAAAGAGATTCTCAGGGATATAGATATAGATATAGATATTGCAGATAAATTGAGCCAAGTCCTTTGCATCTGTCTTCAGTACAGAAAATATAGGGAAACTGTCTGACCTGGTATGGATTTTCTTAGGTAGAGGATTGGAAGCATTAAAGCCAGTTGAAGTAACAAGGGAAAGTATTGTAGGTCAGCTTGAGACATGACATTGAAACAGATCATCATGTTCTGATGGAATCTACCTAAAAGTTCTTACAAACGTTGTCAAATTATTGACAGCAAAAAAATACCTTCGCTCAATTTAAGTTCACTATAAGAAGACTGGAAATCCCTAATATAATTTAAACAAGAAACTCAAGGGAGTTTGGAGAAATTTACACCGTGGAGCAGTCATCTTAAGGTCTGTTGCAAGCAAACCAATAGTAGTCAGTAATTAAGCACAGAGCAAAACAAGTTCTGAAAGTAGTTTTGCATGGATTCGACAAAGAAAATTCTTTTGGAGGTTATTTTTAAAAAGACTTTGCCAGCCATCTTCATATAGGGCGAAAGGCTATGCCACCACTGTTTCTGAACAAATCACAAGACTTCTGGGACACTGTCCTTTGGATAGATGAGACCAAAGTGGAAATGTTTGGCCATAATGCTCAGTGCCACATTTGGCAAAACCCAGACACAGCATATCAGCACAAACATCTTGTACCAACCATTAAGCACAATTACGGAGGGGTGATGATTTGGATTTGTTTTGCAGCCACAGGACCTGGGCATCTTGCAGTCATTTAGTCGACCATGAACTTCTCTGTATACCAAAGTATTCCAGAGTCAAATATGAGGCCGTCTGTCTGACAGCTAAAGCTGGGCTGACATTGGGTCATGCAATACAGCAATGATCCCAAGAACAACAGCAACTCCACAACAGAATGACTGAAAAAAAATAAGATGGTATTGCAGTGGCCCAGTAAAAGTCCAGACCTCAACCTATACTGTGGCGGGACCTCAAGAGAATTGTGTATAAAGAAATGCTCACAAACCTCAGTGAACAATGTTGTAAAGAGTGAAATTCTTCCACAATGATGTGAAAGACTGATAAAGTCATACAGAAAATGATTACTTCAAGTTACTTGCTGCTAAAGGTGGTTCTACAAGTTATTGAATCATAAGGTGTATTTAATTTTTCACAGATGGTTTCTCCATTTTACTTTTTGTAAAATAAATGATGACATGGTGCAGTATGTTACATGATGTTAATCTGAAGTTGTATTTTTAAGAATTGCTAAGGTCCAGATGACCTTTACTATGTACTGATAGATAAAACCACAGAACTCAAAGAGGGTGTACTTTTTCACATGACTATGTATTTATATTTGGGACTATGGATTTTGAGTGGTGGGCTACCTCCAATTCATGGGCCTAAAGATCTCAGTACCTGTTTTAGAGTATCATCAGGCAAACAAGTTGAAAAGAACTCTGTTGCTATTGTATAGTTGGATTTTCAAAAAAACCTTTGACACAACCTTATCAAAGGCTGTTCAGTAAACTTAGCTGTCATAGGCTAAGCAGACCTGTACATTTATGTATTAGTAATTGGTGAAAAACAAATAGTGTTGGAATTTTATCAAAAAATGGAAATAAGAACTAGAGTCCTTCAAGATTCATTGTTGAGAGCAGTATGTTCTAATTTGTTCATAGACAAATTGTCTTAGGCCTAAGTAGTGAACCAACCAAATTTATGAATGCTATTAAATGATTTAGGATGGGAAAACAAAAAGGATCATGAAAATATCCAGAAGGCTCTCTTTAAACTAGATGGACTGTCATCAAATGGCAAAAGCAGTTTGTTTTAAGTGAGTGGAAAGTGATATATGCCAAGGTAATTCTAGTGTTGAAGAAATATTTGGAAGTGTGGAGTTCTGCCAGGTCTTTTAACTTTGTATTGTTTCTTCTAGTTCCATTTCGCATTCCGTCCTGTCTGAGATGCAAGTAATAGAACAAGAAACACCAGCGAGTGTAAAGTCCTCTAGGTCTCAGCTGGGCCTCTTTGAAGATACTGGAAGCTTCACATCTGGACCACCCAAGTACGACTGAGCTTTGCTGAGTTTTTAATTCTGTTAATATTTCTCTATCTGGCCTGCACAGATTTCTTTCTTGCATTTGTTCCTAGGTACAAAGATAATCCATTCTCACTAGGGGACGGTTTTGGTTCACAATGGGAAACAGAAATGCCTTCCTGGGGACTTGACAAAAGAGAAGAGGAGACAGACATCACAGTGTCAAGCATCCGACCCATTGGTGACAGGTAAAGGGAAGACTGTCCTTTGCTCTAACGTAGAGCTGTGTGAATGGGGAGTAGAAGGGATCTGCTTGAAATTTATAGTCAGTGAAAGATTTCAGTGCTTTTCTCTTATTCGCAGACCGACCAGCAGAAGAGAAACGGAGAGCAAGGTATCAGAGTCTAACGAAGCTCGACAGAAGTTTGCAGGTGCCAAAGCCATCTCATCTGACATGTTCTTTGGGCGAGAAGTTGATGCTGAGGTAGGTTTTCTATGACTTTCCTGCCCATAGAGAGGCCTATTTCTGACCATCCTAATCAATATTAGCTCCCCCCGCCACTTATTTTTAAAAATCTTTTTATTTCCATTAATTTTAAATAGTTTTTTTTTCCTTATTTCCACCAGTATGAGGCCAGATCCCGACTTCAGCAGCTCTCAGGAAGCAATGCCATTAGTTCAGTGGATCTTTTTGGAGAATCTGAAACAGCAAATTTGGGTATGTCTATCAGAACCCTAAAAGGATTATTCTTTTGGAACTGCACTGTGATAATTCATAACTTAACACCATAGCTTTGCTGCCCTCAGTTCCATATTGAGGACAGTTTGGTACAGAGCGGTGAGTAGAGTAAGACTTGTAAAAATGTGCGAGTTCAAGCAGTTAAGTTCTCTCTCATAAGCGTCATTCTTTATTTGGCAAAGATCTGTCAGGCTTCATATTTATATTTTTTTCTTCCCTGCAGGTGGTGTATCCATTGGAAATGTACTACCGGCAGCTGACATTGCTCAGTTCAAGCAGGGAGTAAAGTCGGTTGCTGGCAAGATGGCTGTCCTGGCCAACGGTGTGATGAACTCGCTGCAGGTGAGAAGTGCGGGGAAGCTATTCATTATACTTATATGCCGTGTCAACCAAGATGACACTGGACTTTTTCCTCATTTTATTTTGTTAAGTAGTAAGTTAGGTTGAAAGAGAATGATTAGCCCATAATCACCTGATGAGTTTTTGAGGTGGTGGATGAATTAAAATCTCAGTCTCCTCAGTACTAGTCTAGTGTCTAACCACTGCACCATACAGGAGTCCCAGTCAATCTATTTACTATCAAATTTTAGAAGAGCTTTTAAATGTGTAATGAATATGCTTACACGAACAACATATGTAATATTTGAAGAAACTCATATGATGGTGTAGACTGGGTAACTCTTTTATATTTTGAAAGCATGTTGTGGGTTCCATTGGAGAATACAGTCAGTTATGAAACAATGGGTGACATTGCTCCTTTCATCCCCTCTGCCTTCTTACAGTTCTTTCTCTGCCTAGATTATTATTATTTTTCTGGACAGTTGAACATGCTTCTAAACAAGAGTTGCCATTTTTCACCACCAGTGTAAGATCCAAAACGTTACTGAAAATAGTGATAATGCTGGAGGCTGGCCACTTACATTTCAACACGCCTGTTTCCTATATATTTTTTTGAAAGAGAAGAATTTAAAAGACAGTTTTAAAATAGGGGTCCTGGAGCCTTATGCACATCTTGATGCTCATGGACATCACATTGTTTAATTCTGCCAAATGGGGTATAAAAGCACTAAGTACTTCCAAGACAACTAGTTGATTAGTTCACTTTAAGAAGTATTGCATTTTTTCATGGTCAATTTGAATTTGCAAATTTTATAAAGCTACATGGATCCAGTTGGATTTCACTGTATGCAAATAAGGTGATATTAAAACATTGATTTTGAGTAGAAGCATTGATAATACAGCAAGATGTATCTCCTAATACTGTACTTATGTGATTTACAGCCCTATCTGAACTGTATTTATATAGTATGCAGTAAAATAAATCCTTAGAGACTTCTGAACTTTCCAAAAGGGATAATCATATGAAAACAAACTTAAACATAGTATATAGACACCAAGACAAGACCCAACAAGAGCGCTTAATATTTTCTGTATTGTTGACTGACTAGTCAAGTTTGCTGATGAGATATAAAATAGTAGGAAATTCAAGGATAAAAATACAGAAACTAAAGTGAAGAATCTTCCCCCACAAAACCATGTTGCTAGTGCATAAATTCAGGAGTTTTGATTAGACTCAACATACAAGTTTGGTGGATACATTAAGGTTCATATTTCCTATGTACTTAATAATGTGGCAAAAAGAACCACTTTGGACTTTCTTGAATAGTGACCCAGATTCCATTCTGGTTTGGGCTTAGTTCAGGCCTGGTGTGCAAGCCTTGAGTTCAAGTCTGTTTTTCTATTTTGTGTTAATTATGTAAACATGCACATTCAAAGAATTGTCCAATAATGAAGCTAAAATTCCCATGCTGATCTTTTTCTGACATTCTGGGAGGATTACATAGACTTCTCCAATATTTTTTGTGGACCATCTCACTGTTCAGATCTTAATAATTTAGTAAAACCTTTGGTTTTGGTATGACTGGCTCATAAGCACTAAGTTTTGTTTATCAGCTTTGGACTAGTTTTTACAGCTAAATGCCTAGAAATCTTCAAGCATGTTTCTGGACAATTTGTTAAGTGATTTCTCCCCTCCTCTTTTTCTCTTTTCCCTCCTACCTTAGGACCGCTATGGTTCATATTGATGATCTAGAAGACTATACCTCTTGGCCATCGGGTGTAACACCACTTGAACTTGGAAACTTGGAAATACCACATGAGAAGTCTACAGGATAATTTTTAAACTGAGCAGAGCTGAGGTCTGCTTGAGAATAGAAGAAATGGACATGCTTGTCCTATACTCGAAAGTTTTCTGGACAATTGTTTTGTATTAGAAAACAAATATTTTGTCAAAACCCAGCCTTCAATGATTGAAGTATGGGCCTTTCCAGAGAACACCCCTCTGCTGCTATGGATTGAGATAGGGTGCAGATGTCATTGTGGTGCTGCTCTTTATATTTCTCTTTGTCTCCCTGACTGCTATTGGTGGACTTAGTATTGTGGAAGCAGGAAAGTAGTGTGTAATATTTCTCATGCTTCTGCATGAATTCAGAGGCAAATTATAGTACTTGTTGCATTGGTGGAGACTCTAGAACCTATGCTCCAGAATAGAGTGAAATTCCTTCCTCTGTCCATGGTAATCTTACTGCCTTAAGGAACCAGTGTGATGCACCATTTTAGAATAGTGGCTTAAAAGCACAAACATACAGCATGCAGTGAAAGGTCAGAACTCTTGGCCTTAGTTAAGATTCTTTTATTTTGCAAATATGACTGATGATAAGTTTGTGCAGGAGATAGGAGATCTTCAGTGATAAGCAAGGAAAGGTTATCAAACCTTTCCTATAATCAGTTGGTTGTCCATTGAGTGCTGTCTTTTATTTCATGTGCTAAAAGAAATTGGAGCTGAAATGAATGTTTACTATATTCACTCCATTTACTGTGTCCCATTGTTGTTGCATAACCATTGCTACTACTGCCTTCCTTTGGAATCACAATAATGGGCTTGACTGAACACCATAGCTCTCTTGCAAACTATATTGAATCAAAATCAGTTTCAAGAAGGCTTCTTCCACCTATCCAGGCATCACTATTGTCCCTATGCTTTCTGGCATTGTTTTCATAAATTGCTACAGCTTTATTGATCAAAGAGGAACTGGAATAGATAAATGCTCCCAGCCTACACCGCTAATCTCATGCCTGAGACAATAAAAGGTATTTTGCTCCAAAGCACCCATTGCATCTGCATGCTAAATCCCATGTTTCAGTGATATTTTTCCACCGGAGTATTCTCATTTCAACAGAGTGGGAGAATTATTTCCTTGTGAAATGGTGCTTACTGTTGTAACCATTTTGCATTCAAATTGCATGATTGTTGCTGCTGCACTGTGGGTTTATCTGGAAACTGCCACCAAATACAGTGTGTCCCCTAAGACGACAAACCAGTTGTTTAATAGGAAGAGTAATCACCAAGAATACACTGAAATGATGTCTTGAGTTTCAGTGAGGTAAACTTGCTAGAGGCAGCTGAGGTTACCAATGCCCTTTGGGGTTACCCACTTTCACATTAGTGTAACTCATTAGTGCAATTAATCTGCTTATGCCTTGTGCACTTCCTATGAAAATAAATGCCTGCATGGACTGACCAGAAATTTCCCCCTTTGCTTGCTTCTCCTTTGTGTTCATAGGATTCTGAAAATAGCCTCTCCCGTTTCAAGTGTTGCAGATTTAAAATTGTTTGCTCAGTTCCTGAGCAAGGAGTTTGCAGAGCTCATCAGACCACTGCTTTTTCACTCAAGAGATTAGAAGAGGTTTCCCCTGCTTGGGTCATCTCTGTATTTGAAATTCATCAAAATATTCATAAGTGATATGCAGCCAACATTATGGCACTGCTTTATGGGGTTTTAAAGGTGAGAGAGATGGAATCTTCCTCCTCTCCAATAAATCAGACTGGATTCTTGTGTTCTCATTTTCTTGCAGTTCTTATTTTCCTGGGCTCCAAATAATAATATAAAATGTGTTGTTAGAAATCACCCCCTCCATCGTATTTTCTATACTAAGCTCTAAGAACGAAAATTAGATTTAAAGTAAAGCTAAGGTTATCATGTATGTTATTATTATTTTTTAAAAAAACGAACCTTCTAGAAGTATTCTATAACATTATGATGACTATTTTTTGACTGCAAGAAATATTGCCTTGTAGTTTCAACTGTATAACATTTATACTTCACTTCCCAAGGAATGAAAGAAAAATATTTCGTCGTAATTCTTTAGTACTACTTATGTCCTTTCAAAAGACATCTGAATAGCAAATGATGCAGTTGCTACTTTTTGTAATATAACTTATGATGCAAGAAATCTCAAATCTGCAACATTCTTTATTTTCTATACATAGTTCACACTTCACAGGCCTCATCCTGAACCCACGATGAAAAAAATTACCTATCCCTCTGAGCCATGCATTTTCCTTTCTGATCTGGACTTTCATAAAATACGTTAATACCAAGCAGTATAATAAAGGGTTCATATGACGGGAGAAGGTAAAATCTTGTGTGTACAACAGAGATCAAAGGATAGTGATGCAAACTCTACATAGAATTTAAATTTCTTAACACTGAAACAAATGCTCTCGTATTTCAATCAATATGGCATATTTGCCACAAGAGAGCAGTATGGTCCTACAATTGCAATAGGTCTCCCATCTCCCTTTTCCTTAAATCCAACACTTCGGGGTATAAGGACCTGTTAACCATTGTATATTAATTTAATCAGTTCTCTGAAGAATCTGTCTCTTCTGTGGAGCCATCGCTTTCAGTATCCACTTTCCGACGGTGGTGGAGCGGCCTCCAAAGGGAACAGATGCGTGGTGAAGCACGAGAAGGCAAGTTAGTTGCATCCCCACTTGCACTAGAATTGGATACTGAAAGGCCTGAAATTGATGCAATTCTGAAAGGAAGAAAGAAAACCCTGTTGTAACTTTACTTTGGTTCACATTTGTCATTATAAAAGTTGTTAAAGCATACTGGAGAATGTTTAAAAGTATTGAACAATAATTTGCTAAAAGTATTCGGAGAAGAGGAATGCAGTCTTTAGCCACCTTTACAATTGGAGACTGAGCTCCTTTGCTTAGAAGCTCAGAAAATTGCTCCTATAGAAACGGTGAGATGTTTGAAATTTTCTTTTGCATGAAACAACATTTGGAAAAAGCAGGCTTGCTCCTTTCTCGATATATCTCGATATATCAACTGCACAATACTTCCTTTTGAAATTATTTTTATTAAAATTTTCAGAGATTAAAAAACTAATACAAGTTAAAATAAATTAGAATATATATATAAACAAATTTTAAAACAAAATTTTAAAGCATCATCATTCAGTCCTGATAAAAAGCTCATTAAAATTTATGAGAAATAACATATTTTAACCTTTAAAACCTTTACTTTGCTTTTTAACACAGCAACTTACAACTTTTTTTGAAAATACAACCAAAGATCTCTTCCTCTTATACCTCATCACTTGCATATAAACAGATCTTTAAAACCTCATCCTTCAGTCTTGGTCAACAAAAATCCATTAAGAGTTACCAGAAAAAATATATATCTTATTTTAATCTTGATCAAATAAACCAATTTATATTCCCTCTCTTTGCTTTTAACAATACCGATCTTTGACCTCTTTAAATAATGTCCCAATATTTGATTTTGTTTTGTCTGCTCAAAACTTTAATGCATCTCTTTTGTAGATGCAAAATAAGTTATTCAATGCAAAAGTTATGAGAAACTTAAAAGAAAGTTAGCCAGTGTATAAGTTGTTACAAGAAAGTTGTCCAATTCAATGTAAGAATGAATAACAAAACCATCAGAACAGCAAGTTTCATTACACTGGGTGAGTCTCTTTCAATCCTCAGCAAAAGTAGTTTATGCAAGTTTAAGGAGTTCAAAATGTTTTAGAATAAACAAAGAGTGATTAGAATATTGATTTTGGAAAGTTATAAATGGTCTAAGGGGGCCAAAATTAATTAGAAGAATACAACCTTACAATCCTGTGGGTTGTTTAGAATTCTATAAAAATATGTGGAAAAAAAATGGAATTAAGGATATGTAACTTTCCCATGGGAAAATGCTGTTGATTAGAAAAAAAAAGACAAGATTTTGAAAGTTGAACACAAAAGCAAACTAGAAAGAACTAAAGATCAAAATTATAGAAAAAACTCAAGTTTTATTGCGCAAGACAAGGAATGAGGCTGATTTGAAATGATAGGTTATAAGAATGATATGGAAGATGTTACCTGGATTTATAAATGAAACTGGCTGATGTCATAATAATTAAAAGGGATATACAAATAACAAATAGCTATACAAATAGCTTTCCTTTGCTCCTTGAATTAACTTCAATTCTACCTGCCACGTTTTAGAGTGAAAGGAAAAATTACCATTGCTGTTATGTTAAGTGCAAGAGTTCTGCTGTGACACCTGAAAGGAAAAATAATGGTGCCCCATGCCACTTAGTTGTTCTCCATTTTAAAAATACTTACAGTTTCTCTAATTCCTGATCCATAACTGGGTCAAACAGCAACTCTGCTTTCTCAGGGAGAGCTCCTAAAAATGAATGGCAAAATGAGAAAACCCAATTTAAACTTTTAACCAAGAATAAGTTTCTATAGACTGTAATACTATGGAATCTGAAGTGAATCCACCCATGAAAATGGAAATATATGAAGAGGAAGATCTGCTCAATAATTCCAATGGAATTCATGCTACAAACTGCTCTCTGTATGGCTTAGGTTTGTTAGCCTTCTTCTTCAAAAAGCAATTGAATTTGCAGACACTCCTCCTGCCAACTGCCTGATCACCCTTTTCACAATTGCTACATTTGGAGGATCTTGTCCTACTCCTAAAGGAAACATTTTTTGCAGCATCCCAGCATCCCATTAGCTCAGTGTGAGGATGGTCTGTGGTGGCTGATGTCCTTCAAACAATCATTTTCTCACGTTATACTGTACATGAACTTCCATAAAACATAAAAGAATGATCAACTTAAGAATTATTATTTTTTTTAATCTATCTCTATCTCTATAATAGCTCCCCATCTCTACTTACTTGTAAGTCTTTCACTTTAACAATCAGCACTGTAGCTCCTACAATTGTCTTAATAGTAATATACATGAAATTTCAGACTTTTGCACTAATAGGGAAGGTTATTTGGTATACAAGGGAAACCCAGTTAGCTGACTAATCAGGACCTCACCGACTTCCAAATAAGGGAGGCTGCTGTATCTTAGTAAGTAAAATCATCTACATTAATATTTAAAACAGTCACTAAAATATTAAATCCACATAAAGTTGCATAACTACACTGAATTAAGAGCCCCATTCTTCTCTTTAGAGTTTGGACCACTTCATAACTGACAAAAGAACATTAAAAGGGCGTTTGCCTGACAAGGAAGCAAAGAATTTGCTTTCTAGTATGAGCAAAGAAAATGCAGCACAATCATGTTTTAAGTGCCTTTTTAAGAATACATTATTTGGAGGGGGGAGGGAATCTCAAAATACTAACTCTGAGGTCCTTGTCATTCATCAGCAGCTTATAGCTGCAGCAGGATTGTGCATATGAGTACATTTACCGGCAGAGAGGCCCATCTGTCCTGAACACATGATACTGCTTAGATATCTAATGCTACCACTTGATGCCTAAATTTACTTGATTGCTCTTCCCTTCCTCATTCCTTTTGCGCTTTGTCAGCTACACGATGAGCCCGTGAACAGAGCTGGTTTTGGTTTTCATTCTTCGTGTAGGCACGGTGGACAAGGATTCCGCTCATGAAGCATGATCTGAATCTAGCAGATTCAGGTTGCCAATTTCCTTAACAGCCCGTTTTCCTAGATGTGGAAAGGGAGACTCCAGTATGAATTGCTTACTCTGTTACTCTATCTCCTTTATTTATCAATATTATTGAAATGATGAAATATACTTGAAATAAGTTGGAAAAAAAAATCAAATATTTTGATGAGCCATATTTCATTTTTACAAGACTAGACTATATTGCTGTAAGCCAGACTTGAGGCGATAAAAAAGATGGAGCCTTACAATCCAGGAACAAATACAACGGTTCACAAGACAGATTTGTGCAAAGTGTCTTGAACAGGTAGACATGAATCTAGATGAATCCCCAAACTGCACACCATTTTTGTCTAGGGCAGGTCAACCCCTGCCTGGGGGGACAGAGCGCGTGGGGGGGGTAACGTGCACATGCGTGTGGGGGTGGGGCGCATGTGGAGGGTCATGTGTGCATGCCAGCGGGGTGGGGTGCATGCATGGGGAGGCACAATGCATTTTGGGGGGTCGCGCGCGTGCATTTGTGCGTGCACATGTGCACTTTGGGCACTTGGTCTGGAAAAGGTTAGCCAGCTTTGCTGGCTGAGGAATTCTGGGAGTTGAAGTCCACAAGTCTTAAAGTTGCCAAGGTTGGAGAGCCCTGATCTAAGGCATCTCCACATGAAATATATAATCATATTGGTCTACTAACTGGAGTGCAAAAAAGAGGGAAAGAAGGCCTAATTGTCTCCCTGGTTACCTCAGATACATATTCTGTGAAGATAACATATATCTGAAGACGGAGAGAAGATTTTCAGATGCCCTGATACACTATTGCAAAGAAGTGTCCCACTGGGATTACCTGAGAGCTGCGCTTTCTTCTCCTGTACAATAAATTGTACTCTCTTTTTTTTAATACAAGTGTGGTGCATGGGACCTAACTAAAGTCTGTTGTCAAGAACAGAATGCTCTTCCTGCCTTAGATGGGGAAGTCTACAGAGAAGAGTCTGCACACCTAGTTCTTGGCGTAACTTGGCATCCCCGGCATGTATATGGCTCCCAGGGCAGCAGATCCTCACAGAGATCTTTTGCATAACCCTTCGCCTTGCAGCAGTCACCCATGGGAGAAACAGGGATGAACCCTGTTCCTGGGGGTGAAACCTCTTAACGAGGAAAATGTCCCTTCAGAAAGAAAGCTGCACTTGAGGAGGGAAGGCGCAATCTGTTTCTTCTGTCCTGCCTAATATCCCCCAAAAGGAAGGCACTCTTATATCCCTAGCACTATAATACCGAAGGCCAAACGAGCAAAAAGGGGCTGCTGCCAGCCTTCCGCAGCCTCCATTTCCTGAATGCGAAGCGTGTTCTTGCATCTAAAGATCTCAAGGGTGCTCCAATCTCTTGGGAGAATTGGTAAACAATACGCAGTGGATTGGTGAATCAATATTGACACACGGGAGTGAGGCTGGGCCTGCAGTCTGCTTGACAAATTCATCAGCTGCCTTCTAATCTCTCCTTCTCTTCCCTTTCAAGATCCTGGTGAGATTGGAGGCATGGTGGGCCCCTGCCTGGAAGCGCTTTCCTTCCTCATCTGAAGCTCTCGCTCGCCTGGAACTGCCCTTGCTGCGGGGCTTGAGGGAGCCTGTGATCCCTGGCAGACCAAAGCCTATTCAAATGATCCCCTGTGCAGGGAAGATGAAAAGGCAGGAGGAGAAAAATCCTGCTTTCGTTGCCAAGATGCCTGCACCTGTTACACTTACAGCTGCCCCGCAAGAGGCCTCAGTAGGAGCCTGGCTGGGAGCCAGGACAGGCCTTTCTTAATGGAAGGAAAAACCCGTACACAATGGCGGCAGTAGGCAGGGCTTTCTCAGCCCATCTGTTTGCTTTGCACCTTACTGGAAGTGGATTTTGTACAGGCAGAAAGAAAAGCCTGAACTGGGGCGTTCTAGGCATCGTCTTCGCTTGGGAATGCATTACTAGCTAAGCTTGTTTGCAGAAGGGATTGAGGGCTTGTATCGTGTTCCTTTTGATATATAATCTCTACGCTTTGGGTAAACAGCAGCTCCAGTTGTTGGCAGGGGATGGGACGCTGGAAAGGGAGGGGAGTTTGGGCTAAGACATATATCCTTGAGCGAAGAAAATGCAGAGGCATCGAGAGCAACTTGGATGGCTGCTGGCAGAATCAAGAAGGCAGGCTGCCATATTCAGAAGCCCAGAGATGCATCAGGCCCACTGCCGATCTCCAACACGAACAGATTCTGCTATGGAAAAGGACACCCACTTTTTCAAAGCCTGATTTTAAGGTTGCAGGACAAGTAACAGTCCTGAAAGGGCGTATGGGCATTGCTTCTGTCCTGGAATCATGAGATTTCTATTGAAACAAAGAAGTCTTGGCTTCTTCAGAAGAAAATGAAGAATTAAGAAAAAATCAGGATCTTGTTCACTTGCATGAATTAAGCTAAATAAGGATCTGGGGCACAGAACAGATCATAAGGGAAGTTGCCCATCTCTTTCCTTGCTGCTGGAGGGTTATAACAACGTCTGAAAATCTAATAGGGATAGATGGGAATTAAGGGACTTTTTTGTTTTGTTATTGACCTGCCCTGTTTAAATCTCATGGAATTGTTCCCCTTTAAATATAAACTTTTCTGGTATATACCTACTAGACCTGTGGACTCTGTAACCTTCACAAAGGAATCTAGGCCACCAAATCCCTAAAATATTATGCATGGAAAATACAGGACTTTTCATTACCGAGAGCTTTGTTGATCCCATGATGCTTTGCAAGAGCCATCAGAAATCCATAGAAAGTTACTCTCTGTACATTGCTCAGAATTTCCTTGAGAACAGTGGCTGGGGGGCAGCTAGGCAAACACAAGGAACACAAGAAAAACACTTGATATATCGATGTCTGTGAATTACCTTTCTTTAGACATAAGACTGATCAAACTGCATGAATTGCATCATCTACATCACGAACCCATTTTACTACAGTTTGAGAAATGTATCTTTCTGCAATGAGAGAGAATGGACTAGTAGTCCCATGGGCACTCATGGTTCCTTTTAACTTGGGAGAATCGTGGGAAGAGAAGGTCCCGTGAAAAGCATTTCCCAATTACTTTAAACAATACCTTTCTTCTTCATGTTGAAGGAAATCTAGTTGGCCAGGCAGCAATTAAAGCAGGATTGGGAAACTCTGGTATGGTGGTCAACTCATTCTATGGGGATTCAAGAAGAGTTCTCCCCTTTCCCAGAGCCTCCCTCTTTACCATTAAAGATTGTTTGTATTTTCCTGATAGGTCATTTCATACAAATTTCCCCCAGTGGATGAACCTATGTGTTAGACAAACGTTCAGAAATCACCCCGTGCTTTTCCCATTTTTCCCTCAGTGGAAAGGCATGGAAAATGATGGCAATGTAGTGGAAAGTATGTTCTATTCATTTGCAAATATGAAAAGAGCATCACTTCCAAAGAGTAGCAAATTGTTGCTTGATTGCTCTGCATGTAGGAGAAAATGTGACCTCTTTCTTACCGTATTCTCTAAAAATGTATGTTTCTGTGTTCTCTTTTCTCTATGACTTCTCCCACTGTGTGCATGTACTGCTTTTCTTTCTGTATGTTTTTGGCATATGCAAAATAATTATTGCAACCTTTTGTCCCATTTGACGCTGACTGTTTGGAAAAGCCTTGAATCAAACTGAATGCCACAAGCAAGCTGTTTAATTGTTTGCTGTGACAGAGATTCCAAATACAAAGAAAAAGTCCAACCCTTCACAAGGGGACTTTTAAGCTACCCTTTTAAAATGCTTTTTTCTATAGGTGACAATTGTAGGTTGTCAGTAGAGCACAGTTAGGACTGATGTGATGAAGAACAATGTTCCATGAAATCTTGCCCTTTTATCTTCTTCACAAATTATATCATTTTCTTGTTATTTTAATTGCAGCTGAACTCTCTTCACTAATTCATTTCTTTCTTTCAGTCAACATAGTTTTTTCATTGTAAATAAAGTATACTGGTTATTAAAATGAAATAGCTCTTTTTCCATGTGCTTTTTCTCAGAGAAACCAATAAATTAAATTGATGAGTCTGACATATGGATGTCAAAATATATTGATATAATAAATATAAAATGGGTATAAAATGGGGCAGAACTGTTGGCAGCTGAAAATCAGTTGCATAATACATACAAAAGTCAAATTTTAATCTGTACCAATGCCTGACACACATTTGTTTCAGGAAAGAGAGGAACAGAGCAAGACTGAAGATACAAGATCACATTTACAAGAGCTTTTTGATATGGATTGTTTGTACCAAAATGTCAGTAAGCCCCTTCCTTACCCTGAAGCCAATGAAATAGATACAGCTTGTTCGAACCCAGATGGCCTTACCTGTATTTAGATTTGTCACATAATGATTCAAGGCACTGGTAAAATGCAGATGCCTCCACCCCATCGACTGGACTGCACTCACTGAGAGTTTGACGCGAACGATGCTGTCCAGAAGATGACGTAGGCACAATCACGGTGTTTGGATTTTTACCTGTCAACAGCTCTTGATAGATGGCGGCCACATTTTCAATAAACTCTGCTCAAAAACAAAGATGGGTTGCAAAAATCACTTATCAACGTACTGTAAGACTATGTGCTATATAAAAGACTGCATTAACTATGTAGCTAATTAATTCTATTCTAATTATATACTGTATTTTGAGAATGTTTTACTGTTTCCAGAGCTCATATAAATATGCAGTGACCAATATCAATATGCAATTTACCTGCTAATTTAGTTGCTATTTGACATGAAAATCACACAAAGGTTAACAAAGCTAACTCAAAGTGCCTTTTGGGTAGCCGATTGATTCTATTCTTTGGACTAGGTTTTCAATTATGTAGAGTGTTCATTGTGTGAAGAAGCATAAAAGACAAGGTCACCCAATCAGAATACACACATACACAGACAGACAGACAGACAGACAGACAGACAGACACACACACACACACACACTTCCATAGTCAGAAATAAACATAAAATTTAGATAGTTGGCATTGTTAGAGGTTTCAGGAGAGGTGGATTACGCAGGCTCTGGTGAGCAACCCAGTGTGTTTCAATGCAACTTCAAATTAAGTACAGTATGGGATCAAAAGAGATATTAGCAAAGAAACTGACTGAAAGCATTCTCCATCTGGCTCCAAAAATTTCCTGTTATTTACTCCCAGAAGTTGCATATAAACAAGTTTTTTAAACCATCCTGATCAGCTATGCAAAGATGTAGATTCCACTCTGAGTGTTTTGCATTCATGCATATTGGTGGGTGACCCTGAAAACAACTGTTGAATTTGGATAACAACAGAAATGGTATCCAAAGGTATTAGTGTGCAAATTTTTGCATGCATGATTGGAACCTGCAAAAGTGTATATACCGAAACAGATAGGTGACATTTTAATGTGAATTTGAAGGTCTGAAATTCTCAAAGGATGAAACATATCATAAATTATTGCTTTTTATTTTCCTTTCTCTGTTAGTTTGATCTCCAGCGTAGCTTAATCTCCCTCATCCAGATGACACAACTGTCGAGGGAAAGATGACTTGAGGAAAGGGTTATTAATTGCCATGCAACTGAACCTTGCTTCGAGAGAGAATTAACAGAGAAACTTGCCTTAGGAGTAGCAGTGAAATAAGCCATTTAGTACAATGCTCTCTCTGAGATGATAATAAACATTTACATGCAATCATTTATTACATTTTACGTTCAAATGAAAAACATGTATAATAACTGGCCCTTGCTTTCATTTAGTTCTCAACAAAGGCAAAACCGTACCTCAGAATAAAACAGCTGATCTTGCTCCAAATATTTGGAATTTCCTACCCAAGCTAAGTACCAGTCAGCTGCCTAAAAGTCTATGTTTTGTCCTAATACTGTATATCACAAAAGTTATTTGCTTCTTCCATTTCATTTTTTTCTTGCTTATTCCCAAATTATCCAACCAAGGATTCTAAAGTAGCAAATAAAGAAAATGAGTTTTAGAGATAATAGGTTTTATAAATTTAGTTGACTAGACTGTATCAGTTCAATAGGTTTTATTATAATTTTATACGCTATTTTAAATTAACTACTTTGTCATTTATTGTATATTCATGGATATTTGCTGTTCTTTCCCAGTCTTTCTCTCTGTGTCTCTCTTATACTGGTTATTGACTATAATTTGTAATATTGGAATTTCCTATATGCAATAAGCCTTTTCGGAAGGATGTGCAAAAGTTACATAGAGTTTATCTTATGTGTAGGAACTGTAAATCAAGATGCTGGGAAGCTGTCAACAGCTTTCGAGCATTTCTGTATGCTGACTGATGAAAACAAATCTCGTAAACACGTTTCAGGAAGATTTGCTCTACCAGGAACACAGTAACATAGCCTGAAGATACCCCTGAGATGCTTACAAGGTTTTGTAACTTTAATCACTGGCGTAAAAATGGTGCTAAAACTAGCCAGCTTTGATTCTAACATCTCCCTATGTAGGCAGGCTCTCCAATCTCCAGTATTCCTCCGATTTACCAGAGAGGTCCCAAAAGGGAGGAACCAAATAAGAAACTAATCTATACTCAAGACCCTAGCACTGAGGAGCCTGATGGAATCAGCACATATAGGAATACTAGGAATAGGATATGTTTACAAAAACTCACTTCCCAGCTATGGCCTGGAATCTGAAACGTTTTAACAGAGCTCTGATATTTGTGGAGACAGAACCCCTTATTGACAAAGCTACTTTTTATTAGCTTAGAATGTCAACCTTTTCACCTCGTCTTCAGTTTATATACATGCATTACTCCAATCTAAACCATCCTTATATTACCTATGCAGAATTACCATCCTTGAATTCATGCGTACATCAGCCATCACAGAGGTTGTAGAGTTGGCCTGGTGCTTACAGGAATTAACACCGCATGGGAAAGGCCAGGTAAGTTTGTTTCAATTATATAAGGATTTTATATCAGGAGCAGTGGCTGTCCTTCATGACTGATCTCAGCTTAAAGTCTGACATAACTTACAAAGTCACAGTCTTAGAGATCTTGTTCTCTGACTTGCTACTAAAAGCATTCAGATTGGTAATACCAGCAAAGCATTTTCAATTACCATTCCACTCTCATAATGTTTTCAGTTAACTAATTCTGTTGGGGTAGACATATACACATAGCTGCTTTTTGGGGCCTTTACTATATATATTTTTTATCTAGGCTGTTATCAGTTTTTTTAAAGCTATTTTTATTGCAACTGCTTATTAAGACTTGCTCTAAAAGGCACAGTGGGAATATATTAATTAAAATAATCCTCAGATATACAGAACAAAGCTTGACATACAGATTTCAGACAGCACAGGTCTTATTATAGAGCAAAATTGTCTGACCAAGGTTGTTCCCAGTATGATGCTATGTGATCTGTCTGATTACATTAATCACAAATGTAATAAAGTGGGATAGACTTGCCTGAGTAGTAAAACTGGATCTGGAAGGCAAACAGGAAGTCTGAAAAAGACATCAAACAGTCCACAGCATCATCCATTAAAACAATCCTGGAATCAAGAAGGAGAATGCTCAGCAACAGCCAATGTGATGTACAGCAGAGATACAGGGCATTGGAAGTGAAGCAGAAATGTTCAGGACTGATAAAAGGTATCACATTTTGTTCTCCAAATCAGTCTCCGGATCTGTTGTATTAAGCCCACCAAGTTTCTTCTTAATGCTTTATGATACTTTTGTTATTACAGCATTGTTGTTATTATTCATTTATTATTCCTAGAAAGTACCACTAAAGACTGATGGATAACAGCATATTTGTTTGTTTGTTTAATTAATTTAACCAACTAGCATTTTCAGTTGGTAGCCAGTGCTGTAGCCTCCAGAAGAGTGGGATTCTACAACAGCAATTCCCTCCCAACAGTCCTGTTCCCCATATTCTCTACTATTTGCAAGTCCCAAGTCCTCTTCAAAGACAGCCCTTCGTATGGTGCTTGGGTAATTGGTTGTGTGATGACCTTGTGAAAGTTATTCCAAAAAGCAATCTAAAGCCTTGAAAACTAGATTGTCAAGAAGACTGCAGTTATCCTTATGAGCAGAGTATAACAATCTATATTTCCTATTGCTTGTTTTTATTTTATTTATTTATATTTTTATTTGGTTTGTCAATTGCTTACAAGATAATAGGTATAAGTAAAAACATAGTTATGTGTATACATGGATACATATAAGAAAAATAAAAATAATTAAAGGAAACAATAGGACAGGGACGGTAGACACGTTGGTGCACTTATGCACGCCCCCTACAGACCTCTTAGGAAAGGGCTGAGGTCAATAGTAGACAGTCTAAGGTTAAAGTTTTTGGAGTTTGGGGAAGAAACCACAGAGTCAGGTAGAGTATTCCAGACATTGACCACTCTCTTGCTGAAGTCGTATTTACTGCAATCAAGTTTGGTGCAGTTAACCTTGAGTTTGTATCTATTGTGTGCTCTTGTGTTGTTATGGTTGAAGCTGAAGTATTCATTGACAGGTAGGATACTTGTGGGTTACTCTAATAAAATAACGTCGTTTAAAAGTGAACTAAATCCTGAGCAAATAAATGAGAAAATACTTGTTTTCTTGCTTTTGGAAAAGAAGCAATAGTCTAGTATAAAGGGTAAAACTAAAATAAGTTTACAACCACAAATATCTCCTCTGTGCTGTTTTAAGCTTGGATGAACACAGTTAACGCTAATAGGCAGAGCAAAACTTTACTGTCTTAATGTATATTGCTATTCCAACAGCATTAAACCTACAAACCTTATAAAAGCAAAGTCTGGGGTACTCTTACAAAAACTTCACAGAACAGTTGGACGATAAAGCAGCAATTATGGGGAGGAAGAAATTACTATGCCATTAATTTGCCAGTGTTGTTTGGATAGGTCAAAAGAAGCATACAAAATATGTCAATGCCACAGGAAAGAAAGGCATTACTTCGATACCATGTTTACTGTTGGGAGTGTCCAGTAGTGCCTGAACTGATACTGTAATATTGCAATGCAATCAAGTTTTAAGTATCCTAACTAAATCACTTGTCTAATCTTTCCTATGTTCACCCTCCCAGCTGTTCCTTAGGTTTCCCCCACAATAGCTAATCATTGAGAGTTAGTTATGCAACTTTGAATGAGCTGAACCATAATGCTGTGATAAATAATACTCAAAATATGCATGCTCCTAGTGTTTATTTCTCACGTGACACAATTGTACATCTTTAATATACACTGTGTATTTTAGTCTTAGATGTCTTGTTGTTACTGCAGTTCTTCAAATGGATCTGTGCATGACCCTTCATTTAGGAACATTTTAACGCTGAGCTTTGTAATGGGACTTCATCCACACCAGCACATGGCTTCACCAAGTACTGCAAAGTACTTGGAACCAATACAGTGACTTGAAAGGAGTAAAATATGAAGTTATGCAAGAAGGACTTGAAAAACCACAATTACAAGTAAACAATTTATAATTCTTTGTCATTTCTAAGCATTCCATACATGTATAACAATATGTTCAGAAACTGACAAATTTACACCCTGCCACCTGGACATTCCTCACTTATTAAGAGAGCAGCCTTCTTGCCAAATATTGAAAAAGTCCCCACTTAAATTAGCTGGGAAACAAGATCCTAAAACAATAGCAACCCAGTTGCTGAGATTTTGGTACCTTTTAATATTTTCTTTCAATAAATCTTGTTAAAAGAAACTCTGGGAAAATCTTGATTTTAGTTAAAGTGGGCTTGGCAATACAGAATACTGCAATTTACACACAGCACGAGGCTAACAAACATCTAGACAATGAAGCATCTGCTACATATCATCTAAGAGAAGGAAGTCAGAAGAATTATGACCTGAACCAGATGGAAATCAGTCATTGCCTTTGGCAGGAAATAGGCATCTGGTAAGAAGTTTGTCTCTAACTTAGATGAAGTTAAATCAGTGTGAAAAGTACAAGGGTTCACTGATGTGACATAATTAACTGTAGAAAGAAGAAACACTTTAACAGTAAACAACATTTAAAACTATAGTTGTCATGATTTCAACTATTAGAAAGTTGAACTAGTTTAGAACTCAAATGAGGGTAAAATAATCAAAATCCAGGAATGAATTTTACCTATGAACCAGAGTTACAGGTTCTCTAAATCTCAACCCAAAAGCTCTGGAAAATTTCTGGGCAGGAAAATGAAAAGCAGAAATTGTTATAATGTATGCTGAAAGAAGATAAAACGCTGTGTTTTAGAAACAATAAAAGTTGTAGAAGGACATAACTAGAGCAGTTGAATGGCTTTCCATAGGAAGGGAAGGCAACCATTTGAAAAACAACTAAGATAATCTTATAAGAGCAGTTGCAATCTTCCTAGAGGCATCTGTTTTCCTGGTGTATCAGGTATTACATAACTAAAAAGTGAGACTCTAGGCAGTTAGATACAGGATCTGAACACCATCTCTCAACAGGAAGTCATTGTGAAGGGAGAGATTGAAAACATTTGTTTGCCATCTGAAGGAAACTGGTGAACCAGATGTCACAAAGATGCACTGAGGTTGGCAATAGTTTGGTGAGCCAAAAAGTAAGGATGGGAAGCACAAAAGTGAGCTCCCATTCACAATTTTGTGAAAAATTATTTGCATCTTCCAGGATTTTCTGAGTTTTATATATCTGCAAAGAATATTGTCAGATTTGCATACTGATATATAAATATATATATATAAACCCATCAAAATGTAGTGCTTATTTTGCTTATTTATTTCATAGATAATTCAACATATGATGAGCCAATGTACTATCTTCAGTTCAATATTTAAAATGGATGTGGCTCAGCATTGCTCAGCTTAAATCTCATACACTTTGGCCCCTCATCCCAGAGAAGTTGCTACAGTACAGATACTATATCCATACCATGCCTCACTTAAAAGACTGTAGACTGTATTGGTGCTTATTAGTGTGGATAACATTACAAAACCATCTCTGGGGCTCCACTGGATTATAGCTGCAGCCATGGTCCCAAAATGCAAAAGACGTAGGCTAACCATGAATCTCCCCAAGAGTTATAATTCTGTCAAAACTCTCCAAGAGACCATCAAAAAATCATGCAAGACATCACGAAATAGCAGGGGATAGAAATTGGATTTCATATAGTCCTCAACTTAAGATTCTTCATTTAATGACCATTCGTAATTACGATTCTGTTGAAAACAATGACGACCAGTCCTTACACTTGTGACCATCGCAGCATCAATGTGGTCACAATTTGGCACTTGCCATCTGGTATGTATTAACACTGGTTGCAACATCCCAGGGTCATGCGATCACCATTTGCAAACTTTCCAGGGCCTTCTAACAAGCAAAGTCAATAGGGGAAGACAGATGGGTCAATAAACTTGTCCTGATGGGTTTGTTCTCCTATGTTGTGCCATGTGTTTATGGCCATCAGGACAAGATTCAGTAGTCCATCTGCATTTAAAAGGCCACTCTTTTGAAGACAGCAAAGTCCACATTTTGGACAGAGAGGACCGCTGGTTTGAAAAATGGGTCAAAGAGGCCATTTATGTCAAAATTTAACAGCCCTCTCTCAATAGAAGGGGATGGATGTGACATCTTCTATTTCCAGTCTACAACACAGTCCTTTCAGCAGTTCCAAGAAGGCTCTACACCCATTTGTACTACTCAGGTGATCCAGAGGACACAAATAAACCTCCAGGTGGAGGTTTTAGTCTTATTTAACTAATAGGTCCCAATAGGCCTGAAAAAGTATGGAAACTGCTGAACTATCAGTATATTACAAACAAAACTTAAGTGTATTTGCCTAAATAAACAGTTCTGATGTTCTCATCGCCAAAATTAATCAATGTCTGTGATTATTGTTAGAATGAATCCTAAGTTTCATGAAGATCCTTGCTTTGTTGAGCATCATTTGGAATTACAGTATCTTTAAACTCCAGAGAATCTTCACTGACTTGGACTAGAACAGTTAATAGAAGTAGCCTGAGAAAACTAAGTTTTCTTATTAATTCCACAAATAATATCTCCTTACTCATCAGAGACACCATGGAACCTGAACAGAAATGTCCAAGTGCTATTTTATTTGGTCTGGAAGACACCAATGAATCAGACGTCATCACCAAAGTTCGTGATATCATAAGCAACTCAAATACCACAAGCATCTCTCCTGAAGATATCATTGAAATAACCAGAGATGGCCCTGGGTGCAAATACAATGACGGTTCTGTGGCCCCAAGATTTTGTAGAGTTGTAGGCAAAAATTAGTCCAGCAAACGCATATTCATTCATACAATAAATGCCACTGCAAAAACCAATCCCAACCACAAAAAACTTTGCTCAAGACCAGACTTATCCATACTGCAAAGAATCCGCTCCTGTGAACTCTGCGCAGAACTCAAAAACTATCTAGACAATGGCAAAAAGGACCTATACATTGACTACAGAGCTGATTGCATCAAAAGAAAGTCACACAACCCGCAACTCCACATCCAATCCCACCCTATCCAATCCAACATCACTCAAA